GGTTAAATGAAGGTAAACTTATTGTTCGTCCCATTCGCATTCCAAACTTTACAGAATTTTGAAAATTTTAAAAGCGTCGTATGTAAGATAATTTGAATTGTAGCCGTTAAGCAATCGTGACGTCATAAATGTACATGTTCCATTGAATAAATTGTGAAATTATCCCAATTTCAACGAGCCCTGTAAGCGTAAAATGTTACGTTTTGCAGTGTTTTTGACGATTTCGGGGTATATTTAACTTTGAAACTATGTTGGATCCCATCAAATTAATGAAATGACTGACATGCGAATATAAGATACTTCAAAATGATATAAAACACATAGTTAGCTTTTTTGAATAAGGCTGGGATTAACGCTCAAAGCTGAGATCAGCCTGTTTTTCCAAATTGTCCCCAGGTCCGTGCACGTCATAACTTTAAACACCTATAATATGATACATTAAAGTGCGTTCCTTAAATAATTTTTGTGGATGTCAGAATTTTACTCTAGAATGCACGATGCATTGTAATTTTGACCTAACCCGACAATCGGGTAGGCCATTCTAAAAATATGTCAGACAACTCCAAATCGACCTACAATTTGTAGATCGGCTGACGTATAAGTCGATCCCTGGATTCATTAATTGTAAAAAATATAAAATAGTTTGCATTTTATTTTGAATTATTTTAAATCATTTTTTCTTATATCTGTAGGTCTTATTGATGCCAGTGACAGTTTTGTTGCCACATATAATGACGCGAGAACTATTCTAGATAGAATTGCAACATTTACTCCTACTGAACAAGGACTTATCAACAGCTTGTTTGTTGGTCCTCTTAATTCTACCAAAGATGCATTTTTACTCTCAAACATGGTGGCATTATTTGACATGCTATTCGATGATGGTTTAGACCCTTGTACATTTGGAAAGAGTGTTGCAACTGGGGTATGGAATATTCATGATACTGCCGTGTCATTGTTGGCCTTGCTAGATGATCCCACACACCCTCAATTGAATGATCCGGAAGATCGAAAAAGAATCGATGAATATCGAAAGAAAATGTTGTGGATCAAAACTTGCATGCTTCCAAAATGTAGGAAATCTTCTATCTAATATTTACCTCTGCAATTTTTTTGTTTTGCCAAATACCCTTTTTATTTTAAGCTCCATGTCAATCGACAGTCCATTGCATGGTTCCTTAAAAATATATTTCGAAGTCGGTTCAAATATAAAGTATTCAAATGTACAGGTTACATACAGACCAAAATCACCTGAATATATTTTCTTCATATTTAGCCCCTAGCAAACACAACATACTATCACTGTCTCATGTATGCTTATCACTGTATAGTTTGGAAATTCATATTATAACCATTTCACAACTTAACCTGAACCTTAAATATCGATCTCGACTTCACAAAGTGTTACCATGAAATGATAGGTTTATTGTGCATAGCATATGATAATATTTCAATTTATTAAATAGTTCTTGAGCGCAAAGGCTTAAAGTGCTTCAAAGACGATGACTGCAGTGGCGGTGTCTGTAAGGATGATTGCTCAGCTTGTGTACAGTGTAGAACTAATAATGACTGCACCGACCCGATTAAGCCAAACTGTAGAAACAACGGAGCGGGTATAATGGTCTGTGGGGACCCTCATATCTCTCAGACTATTCAGGGTGCGGATCACAGACGACTTTGCTATGACTTTGTTGGGAAACCTGGATCAGAGTACCTCTTCCTTAGGGATCATGAGATTGGTAGGAATACTATATTTTAGACAGATACGGATAATGCGTTTTCATCATATCAATCACTATGCTGGTAAGAACAATATGCGTCCCAATTATAAAAAAATATAAAATATGTCGAGGGAAAGTACGTAGCCACTGTGAGATAATGAACATTTCAGAAAGTGATACTGCCAAAGAACTTTCAAATGATAAAAATAATTTTCCATTAAGATTTTGACATAAATACACGGTTCTACGTTTTCCTAAGAAATCATATAATAAGAATGGTTTGTGTACTACAATTACTATCTTTAAGAACAATGACAGCCTGGAAAATTTTAAGTATAATTGAGCGTGAAGTATCAACTTTAAACATTGTATTTTACCTTTTATGTATACTGTTATTTTATCTTTATATGCAGACTTCTGCACATTTTTATCTTAAATGTTTTAATTGCTCCGATTACACTTTCTAGAATATAATTTTGACAGACTAATTTCAGATATCAAAGCAACGTTCGTAGAAGATGAGGACGTCAACCATGGTGTCTTCGTTGATTACGTCGGTAACATTGTTGTGGCCAGAAAGGGTATCTCTGTGTCGATATCCCCTGATAAAGTGGTAGTAGAAACATCAAAGGGGGAAACTAATTACAGCTGGAAGGATGAAAGTGTTGAACTTGATGGCGCATGGATGACAGTCAAAAGAAAGCAAATACAAATTTTCATCGATAATGGCGAAACTACACTTGTAGTCACACGTAAAGGACGCGCGAAGGGCTCGCCATTTCTTAACTTTGGTGTTACAGAAAAGACGGGCTTATCAGGATACGCCGGTGGAATAATGGGTACGTTAAAATGAAGTCATTAATCGCCCGTCGTGGATTATCCTTAAGTTACTACATAGACCTTTATTTCAAAATTTTTGAGGATAGACTTCAATGATTCCCCAGTCACTTTTCATCTACAATCTACGGCAATCGTACGATGACCATAGTTTTCCAAAATCGAATTTAAAGGGATCAGTACGATGTCGATTTTCAATATCGATTTTCTGAAGCTACGACCGCTGTAGAGCAAATGTGACTCAACCGGTTTAAATGTTCATGACATCATATATTGATTCTTCATTATTTCTATTTTGATTTACATCGACGTGAATTTTCTAGGATGGATTGGTAACGAAGCTATTTTTAATGATGAAGGCTCTGATTCTGGCCACATAACGTTCGGCAACATCACGATCCCTGTGTACGACGGCAGAGATGGCTGCCTGAGAATTGATGAAGCATATTTGAACAAATTCAGCTCTATTCTCCAGATGTTCAAAATATAATAATGTGGACAGTAATAATGAAACAATAATGTAGCTGTTCCTTTTTGAGGAAACTGTCTTCAATGTACTATGTATATGATGACAGTATTGATTTCATCAAAAGGAAAGCATACAACAATGATATACACGTTCCGTGAATTTAGGGTAGACACGCATTTCAAAATGTTTCTTCTTATCTATTATATAGCATTTCCACTAGTCATTCTCAGTCAACGTTTAGTGCTGCCATCTTTAATGGTTTGCAAATAGGTGTTGGAACGTTTGCCTTTCATTTTGTATAAGTTCCAGTATTTGAGGGAGTTTTTTCTCTTCCTTCAGCAGAGTGTTAGATCGGGGGGAACATAGAACATCATATTTAACATCTCATTAGACTTGCCCTTATTCTTTTCTTTATGCTGAAGACGTATGAAGAGTGAAGAATGTAAATACATGTCTGTATGTAATTGTATATGGTTACTCTTTTATTTGGAATAAAGAACAGTGTTATGAGTATATTATTTCTGCGTTAATCTTCTCTTTTATACAATTACAAGTCTTAGACCAATCCATTTCATTTTATGAAGAACCCACATAGCTATATCCAAAAGATACAAAGCTCGAGGCTTCAATTAGAAAAAATTATAAATACATTTTCTCTATATTGTTTTAGGAAACACACCAGACAATTCTTTGTTCTTGGTATCATATGTTCAGAATGAAATGAAATATCTATCCGAACCTCATTGGAACAAAATGACATAAACACGACGTGTTTAGGTCTCTCAATATTGTAATTGTACAACGGAAAGTTTGGTTGATTTAAAAAACGAAAAAAAAATTATTTTATTATTATTATTATCTTAATTTTTTAGAGTTGTTCTTTGAATTTGTTGAATACTTTTTTTTATCAATCAACCAAATTTTCCATTGCATAACTTTAATATTGAGAGGTATAAGAAAATATTCTATGTGCTATTTTGTTTCAACAAGGTTAGGAAAGATATTTTATTTTGTTCTCAAGAAATGGTAGAAAGGAAAAAATCAATTGAACTAAAAATAAAAAAACAGTTAATATATAAAATATGTATAATTTTCGCATTAAATTGTTGTCAACCAGATAAGGACTGTGTTTTTACAGAATGTTTTCAATAATTGGTTTAAGAGAAAAACATTGTTGAATTCAATTCACCATATCGATACCAATCCTTTTAAAAGGGAAGTACACGAAATAAAGTTATGTTGCATCTAATTTTATATTATTCGTTTTTGTCAACAATTGAATTTTATTTCGTTTTTAAGTCAACAAAAGTGTTGACATATTGTTAAAGCTTCAACTTTTTTAAACAGTGTTAGGCTGTTGGTGTTTGGAATCCGGCGTATTTTGACCGGTGTGTTTTGCGTCTGTGTCCCAAAGGACAAAACTATATACATGCTAAGGTCAAATGCAAGACAGCAAATGGACAAAAGAGCCAATGAAACTTTGGTATCGTCATGAGGCGACTGTATCGGCAAAATTAATGAGAAATTTTAATGCAGACATTTTTTCATTTAAATCGAAGTACCATTATTGTGACATCTGACTCAATATTTGCCTCATTTGCCTTATCTATTTATATTTGCTTCGCCTATTTATATATTGTAACCAAGCCTATTGCTAAATCTTGGTTACGCCCCTTAGTACATACAGCATATAGAAAAGCACAAATAACTATTGTGAAAACTAACATAAGTTTCATATTAACATTAATCATTTTATTCTACAAAATATCATAACAAGTAAAATATAAAGTTTCAACTCCTGCACCCGTTTGTACAAATTGTAACAACCTGAATAACACATGGTGTCACTACAATACAATGTTACTTGTATGTATAAATAGAATATCAATTGGACATTGGTTGCCACGCTAGTTTCGATATGCTGATGAATTCCTTCAATTTATAATTGGATAAAAAGACCTTCCATAGGCTCTCTTATATAAAATTAAATTAAATAATGAACCAAGTTTATAATCGTACATTTGTCGTATGGCGACATTTTAAACATTTTGTTTACCCCGTGGATTTCAGGCCGTGTATGACTTTCATTCAACCACAGGACTTGACTTTTTGTTAATTCTTGGATAACGCCTGGCTCATTTATTTCACTAAAACGAACAATCAGATTACGTTACGATCACGTCGTGATCATTATAAACATGGTTGAATATTGAGTTTTGAACACAGGCATGAAACGTGTACTTTTTGATTTTACATGAGCGTGCGCTCCGTTACCCTCACTGGTGGTCGCAGCAGGGATAAAGGTATCAAGTTCAAGGTTTTTGATCTTGGGCCCTTACAGAGCGGAACTTCAAGATTACAATAACACCGACTGCTACACAAATTGCACATAATGCCCCGACTGTACCAAGTACAATGAACATAACCTGTGGACTACCATGAGCCGAACCTAAAACAAAAATTAAACTTTTCGTTATTATGTTTTATTTAATGGCCGATGTTGTATTGTTTTCGGTAGTTTCCTTAGTCAGGGCTTATTTGAAATGGACATTGGAATTTCGAAAGCTTAAGATAATCGCTTTCAAGCATGATCAAGAACAAAATATTGCATAATATAGTAGAGGAATGATGGAGAGTATCGCCCCACATTTTCTTTAAATTGAACTTATCTGCATACCATTTCCTCCATTCTGACCATTCGCTCCTGCTGAACCACTTGCTGAGATATCTGCCACAAACTTCAAGACCGTCTCACCGGAATACGTCGCTTCTCGTTTGTGGAGAGATCTACGCCTTCTAGATGTATCGGTCGGGCAGTTTTTCTGTAATACCAATCGAAATACATCGTATCGTTATGAGAAAACCCCCTTCATATCAAATTATAGTTCTGGAAAATCATATTTAAATCATCTTTATATACACATATCACAAAACAGTTCAAAACACATGACAATAGGGCTTTTAATTTATTCTGTAGTAATTACAATTACGTATACGTTGCAGAACAAATTAGTTTTTCTACTGCCCCAACGGCCATCGAGTTAGTATAAATTATTTGCTCCCCTCAATATTCTGGCGACCGGAAGTCCACTATTTTGATCACCTCTCAGAGCCTGTTTATGTTTGCTGTGTTTTAAATTTATAAATAATAACGTTATAAATGTCCGAACTATTGTGAATAAATTAAGGGACAAATGAATAGTCTACTCCTGGTTGTCAGACTATTGGAGGGTAGCCTGCTTACTCACCCCATTACAACTAGCTCGGCACACTCACTCCATTACAACTAGCTCGGCATACTCACTCCATTACAACTAGCTCGGCATACTCACTCCATTACAATTAGCATGCTCACCCCATTGCAACTAGCTCGGCATACTCACTCCATTACAACTAGCTCGGCATACTCACTCCATTACAACTAGCATACTCACCCCATTACAACTAGCTCGGCATACTCACTCCATTACAACTAGCTCGGCACACTCACTCCATTACAACTAGCTCGGCACACTCACTCCATTACAACTAGCTCGGCACACTCACTCCATTACAACTAGCTCGGCACACTCACTCCATTACAACTAGCATACTCACCCCATTGCAACTAGCATACTCACCCCATTGCAACTAGCATACTCACCCCATTGCAACTAGCATACTCACCCCATTGCAACTAGCACACTCACTCCATTACAACTAGCTCGGCACACTCACTCCATTACAACTAGCATACTCACCCCATTGCAACTAGCATACTCACCCCATTGCAACTAGCACACTCACTCCATTACAACTAGCTCGGCATACTCACTCCATTACAACTAGCATGCTCACCCCATTACAACTAGCATACTCACCCCATTACAACTAGCTCAGCATACTCACTCCATTACAACTAGCATACTCACCCCATTACAACTAGCTCGGCATATTCACTCCATTACAACTAGCTCGGCACACTCACTCCATTACAACTAGCTCGGCACACTCACTCCATTACAACTAGCTCGGCACACTCACTCCATTACAACTAGCATACTCACCCCATTGCAACTAGCATACTCACCCCATTGCAACTAGCATACTCACCCCATTGCAACTAGCACACTCACTCCATTACAACTAGCTCGGCACACTCACTCCATTACAACTAGCATACTCACCCCATTACAACTAGCATACTCACCCCATTGCAACTAGCACACTCACCCCATTACAACTAGCTTGGCACACTCACTCCATTACAACTAGCTCGGCATACTCAGCCCATTACAACTAGCATACTCACCCCATTACAACTAGCATACTCACCCCATTGCAACTAGCACACTCACTCCATTACAACTAGCATACTCACCCCATTACAACTAGCTCGGCATACTCACTCCATTACAACTAGCTCGGCACACTCACTCCATTACAACTAGCATACTCACCCCATTGCAACTAGCACACTCACTCCATTACAACTAGCATACTCACCCCATTACAACTAGCTCGGCAGACTTCGACATAGCACTCAAACTGAACCTTTGCCGTATCTCCACCGCCAATTCCAAACATGGTGAACTTTGGTCCGTACGCTTGGAGGCTCGTTGTTTCAAACCCTAATGTTAACTGTCCAAAGGAATCAGGCCACGTGACAATGCCTTCAACTGTACACCTATATGCATGAGAGGGGATCAAAGTTGTAATAAAACATTTCAGAGGATATAGATTATAGTTATGCTACGTGACTCGTTGAATGCCACGCCAAACGTTCTTTGTGCTAGAGGTGTCAAGTATTAACCGGTTAACCGGTTAACCGCCGATAATGTCTTGACCGGTCTGTGTTTTTATGGGTGGTTAGTTGACCGTGTATAATTCTGTTATTTCCCGCGCTTATATTGCATGCTAATCTGTTTGCTTTTAAAGTGTCAGTTTCACGTAAGCTACTCATACATGTCATAAGTCCCATAACTCCTTACAAATATCCAATCAGAAACTTTAATCCCTGCCACATTGCTTTCCCGCGCTTACTTTGCATGTTAATCTGTTTGTTTTTCAAGCGTCAGTTTCATGTGAGCTACTCACATGTGATACATGTAGGTTCAATAACTCCTTACAAACATCCAATCAGCAACTTTAATCCCTGCCACATTGCTTTACCGCAATTACTTTGCATGTTAATCTGTTTGTTTTTCAAGTGTCAGCCATGTGTAATCAACTCATAGGCCAGATTATTCCTTACAAACTCATTTCATAAATAAATTATATGCATTTTTTAATTCGTCAGTTTTTATATTATTGTTGTCTATCAACGTCGCCAAAATGTCAAAGGTCAAAGCCTCGCAATTGGTAGTGAGAAAATTAAAATTAGAATAAACACTAATCAGCTGCAATTGTCGTTGTTATGGTGCGTTCGTGGAGATTCCAAGGGTAAACCAGTGTGGTAAGTAATTTAGAGGTACCAGTAGTCAGGTAGTGTATGAATAGAATAGAGTAAAGCTTGAGGAACGTAAAAAATAAACGCTAATATATCATTTTTCCAATTTTTTCAACTTTCAAGATCGAAGATGAAGATTTCATTTTAAATTATCAGTTCAAATTTCCCGCCGGTTAACCGACTTTAACCGGTAAAAACACCCGGTTAACCGGTTAATGCTCAAGCAGTTAATTGACACCACTACTTTGTGCTAAGTACAAGGTTATTAGAGATTGTGATCGTCGTTGTATTACAAATTTAAACTTTTGAAGATCTAGTCGTACTGGCTTTGTACTGTTTGATATGTAAATGGTTGAACGAGTATATATCTATGTAGCCATGGGTTCAGGGGTTTGTAATAAGAAATCACATAATACACACCAGTCGGAGAGCATTGGTATCACGTTGGTGCCTTTATCGTTAGTGGCTTGGCAGGATTTCACCATCAGTCCATTCTCGTCACCAGCTATAACAAAAATGAATGTTATACACCCCATTTAGTGTTCATAAGCAACCCATTTGGCTTAATAGTAATGATTATGTTATTTGTTTTTTATTTGTCTGTTCCTTATGAATGGTTTATCGGAAGACTGTTAGATGTTAATAAGGTACAGGGTGCCTTGAAATTTTAGAATTATGAAGTTCATTCAATGTACATTTTGTTCTGAAAGTTTGATGATAATCTATTCATTGTGTCAAAAACTACAGTCCTTTACAAAACATGCTCAAAGTGGGCACTTCTCCTCTCTATGCACAAACGAATCCTGCGAACAAAGTTGTTAATGACCCTGACCTTTACACATTAATGTGGATGGTAAATATTGTGGTGGTTATTGTTCGGGGCCTGTCAGTATACACATTGGCTTTGAGATATCCTCAAAGATAAAAATTTGGGGGATTTAGATCAGGCGAATGAGGTGCCCATATGGTTTGCGTTCTGCAACTGATGAGCTGACCACCAAAGTATTGCCTAAACCATTTCAGCATATCATTTGCAGTGCTGGGGTGGTATTGGCTTGTTGAAACCACTGCTTATCTCCTTAGATGTCCCTTCTAGTCCTTAGTGACCTCCAAAACTTGGTGAGAACTTACTGGTCCTTGTTTATGGTGAAAGCACGTCCCCAGTCACCTTCGAACCAAAAGAAACTGATGATTCCATGTTTCCTCATTGCCACCCAGGCAGTGCATTGTTCAGAATGCAATGGATTCTGTAACACTTCATCAGAAGGATGTAAGCCCCAGTAGCAATTGTTCTTGGAACAAACTTGTCCATTCAGAAAGACATGTGTGTAGGAGGATCATCAACAACTTTTTTCGCCGGATTGAATTGTGCATAGAGATGAGAGGTGCACATTTGAGGCATGTTTTGTAAGGAGCTGTCGATTTTGACTCAATTGGTACATTATTATCAAACTTTCACAACAAAATTCACATTGAATGAACTAAATAATTCTGAGATTTCAAGGCAAAATACCACCCTGTACTTGCAAAAATAAACTAAACAATACAATTAGACAAACAGAGTAGCTAAAATGCATTTCTAGGGTAAGGTATAGTAGAATGATAAGGCTAGCAACCTGTCATCTCAATTGTTTAATATGTTACTGTATGTTTGAATCTTAGATCTGTTCCTCGAATACACTCTAAATCATTTTAACAGCCAGAAGTTACTTCCATTTTGTGTTGATATGAAATGCTGTTTATGTTTGACGATTTAAGAAATTAAAACTGCTCATTTTGGCAGCATACGGAACCCTGTCAATGTTTGAAACTTAATTTTCCTAAATAACAAATCTTGGTGACAAATTTGATCAATCGTTCGCCAAACCCAAACAGGCTTCGATAAATTATCCATAAGAAGACGTCCAGTTGTCACTATGCCTAATGAATATCCCACTCACCCACGGACAATGGTAATCCACCATCATCGTTTCCGAACATCCTCACTCTGAACTTGACCTCGGTACCAATTGGAATCGCACCTCTGAGTACATCAAGACTTGCTGCATCTACTAGAGTGAGTTCATAGCTTCTGTCCAGTACGTTTGGTGTCCCCTCGCCAGGTACTACCGTTGGCGAACTGCAATGATTTCGTTAACGGTGTAAGTGATGTTTTTGTTAACATTAACATTTACGCACTCAGCCACGTATGCAATATGCGTTACTACTAACGACGAATAAACATTCAATACAGTTATGAATTACTGTATGTGTTACCATGTATGTTTTAATGGCATTTTGAAAAAGTGGTAAATTGTCGTCTTATGTTGTCTTGGTGCGTGGTGTTAGTGTCCGGTTAAGAATTGTTGCTTTTGCAAAATGTTTTCCCTTTTTTGCGATTGACACTAAAAGAAAGGAAAATTTCTGAATCACTGTCTATTTAAGACTCTTAAACCAATGTAAATCATAAGGAAATGACCATGGTATAATATTTATGTATATACCTCCGATCAAATTGTGGCAGAATAATGACGTTAAATAAAATGCAAAACTGGTACATATAATGTTAATACGTTTTGAACTGAAATGAATAAATATAACAAAAAAAGGTAAACATATACATAGCACTTACTTAATAATATCATATATATCATATAAACATATGCATAGTACTTACTTTATAATATCTGCAGTCCCTACTGCCCCTAAGTTTGGTATGGACGATGGTGTATATTTGCATGAAACAGTGAACATTGCATCTTCAGTGTCGAGAATCGCACCCTCTCTAATGACGAAGTCGACCTCCACTGTATCACTAGACTAGCGAGAATAAATTAAGACAATTAATTAACTTATATTTACCGTTTAATTGATAGTGCCCCGTGTAGAATAGTATATAATTTAAAAATATTATTTATAAAATTGAAATAGTAGGAGTTGAAAAGTAAAATATTATTTGTAAATTATAGATTTGATGTTTCTAAGCAAATATACAATGGCCATTAAATCACGACCATTTAGAATAGACCAATAAAACATCAAAAAAGGCTTAAGGCTTAATTGTTTTAAATATGATTTAAACCCATGCTAAATGACTGAAGAGTAATTAAGATTTGTCTGGGCTACATTTTTTGCCTCACTCTGTCCTTACTGTTTGGAGTTGTCCACATGGCCCGGCTGTGCCAATGGTCAGGTTTGCGGTATTGATGAGTAGCGTATTATTCCATGGGTTGGTGGTAGTGTCTATCGTCTGCGAACAGAAGGTTCCCGCCAATACCTGAAAGCATTCTCTAATAATGTAACAAACAAGCAACATTGACAGAAACAAGAATTCAGCAATATCCTGGTGATATTTTATGATTTTTTATAAATGGTCACATTGATATTCCACTCAATTCCTTGGTTATTATGGTATAATAATGATCGAATTCAAATATTTTGAATTGTCATTTTATAAGCGTGCTATTTTGCAAAACATATTTAGGCAGCTTAGGTTAGTACTGTAAGTAAATAAATATTTATATCTTGTCCAAGCACATGGTATATTCTGTGTTCTCATTAACCAATAGTTTTGTCGAAACATCTATCAAACCTCCCGAATAATTCTCGAAATCGTCCCGTGATAACTCACCGTTGCCTCGTGCCCTTGTGGGAAAACAGTTCCATTCTGTGTCGAGATGTCATCTGGTGTCCAACTAACGCTTATCTCGATAGGGCCAAATCCCTCAGTGCGCTCATAACCACATGCTACAGAAACTGGAACAGTATTTCACATTTCGATAGATGGCAGCACATATTGGGTGGAGTAATAAATTTAAAGATGGTTGCAAGATAATGCTCAGCTTTTGGAGTCCCTACAGTGTCTATATTATTGATTTTATGTTACAGAATTGAAGAAATAACTACCGTACTGTAAATGACTTACTTTGTGACGATGTTACAGAGACAACTGCTTGAGTCTCAAGACACAGTGACGCACACAGAACAACTACAAACCATGTGGTCATCATGTCTACAAAATCAAAAATATATACAAAATAGAGCTACAGTAGATTAAAAATACCATGTTATAATTGTGTGTTAGAAAACAGTGTGTCTATGTGTTATACGTGTGGTTGTTTTCAACGAATGTCATTTGATGAGAATTCTTTTTAAGGGAAGTAAATTGCAAAGTATGGTTTTCATCCCTTCTAAACGGATTCTTTTCGAATCAATAGGCAAAACAGTACCTCCTGTATAGTTCTAAAATGAGGATGTAGTTTAGAAATCTAGTTCATCGACAGAAGTTTCATGAAATATAGACACATTTGAAAATATACACTTTCCTTTTCTAAACAAAAGTTAAGAATGGTACACCTATGAATTAAGTGTACACAAATTTTAGATCCGATATATTTTTCATAATTGTCACAAAAAGCAACTTTTGGAAGATCAGTGCCTTAATCAAGTTAATAAAAATCTTAAGGGATTTTTCGCATCTAATTAAAAATGTAACATGTCGATAATCTTATAAGAGAAAATATTGAACTTTTACGTACCTTTTCGGAGCTTTGAGGGCCGTCCGTCGCTGTTCATTAAACAAAAATCTAAAAAAGTAATCGATTAAAAGACCGCGGACAATAGATATATTAGCATGAAAGGCGTGCCCTTTGCCATTCATCAAACATATCGAAGGCCGATTCTAAAACGGAAGCCATGTTAGATAAACACGTCTGCTCTCGAATTTGTCAAAGAGTGTTTACTGTCCATTGGCCTCCTCATTGGTTCATATATCCCGCCTATAGACTTTCGGTATCATTGATTAAAGTCAGATGTCTGTATTCAATAGCAACGACCCATAGCTTGTCTTGATCAAAGTGGCTGACATGATTAGGGCGTTCACAGAGTTAAAATTAGAATGTCTGACACAATTTTTGTCAATGTGTCATTTTTAATACTTTTTATATTATTTTTGAAGTGTTTTATGACTGAAACATATTAGCTGTCATGTCATACAGTCAAGTAGCAGCCTATTCGTATTAAAATTAATAAAACAAGAAACTAAGCATCATTCAAAGATGAAGAAAACAATTATACAATTAATGTTTAAATAAAATATTATCAGATATTTAAAAAAAATAGCCGACGTGTTTTATATTATTTCGTTTTGATGTTACAAATTTATCGGAGAGGTATTAAAAATTGATCTTCGAGGCTCTTCTGTATGTAAATAGGTTGATCACGATGTAGATGACACCACGGCTTACACTTTGACATTTACGTGATTTATCGTCCATTTCGCAAGGATTGTGAGTAATTGTAGACCTGTACATTTCCTCTTTCATTTACCATTTTAGTAGTATCGAATACATGTATGAATCAATACCAATCAAGTACCAATTTCGTATTAAGAAACAAAGATGTTCGAATCCAGTTTGGAAATATAAGTTCCTAAAAAGTGCATAAAACTGAAACATTATAACACACGTTATCAAAAATCCCAATCATGAAAATTGTAGTGCCAATTGTAAATGAAAAACGCGGACATACGAGGGGTATCATAAATTTGTATCTATAAGTGCTTAATCCTAATGTCTACAGGGGGTTCAGATTCCCACCCTAATTTTTTCGAGAGTACTTTTTGCTAGTTTTATGTGCCTCTGTAACTTTTTTACCTTCAGTCACAGACATGAGATACTTTTTGGCGCAAAAATTCGAGGTGATCGGGGGTAAAGGGTCAAAGTTATGAAAGTCGAAAAATGAATTACGCGCTATATTGATTCCAATGGATATGTGCATAACTATTAACTTTAGTTCTGGAAAAGCTACTATTACCTTGATGTTTATTTGAAAGATAATATATCATTCTTTAATGAAATAATGCATATGTGGCAACAAAAAAATAATTTCAAAGAAAATTCACAAATTTTTATATCAATTAGTGTTAATTTTGTTCACCCCTAGGTCACGTTGACCTCGATTTGATCTAAGTTAATCTACTTATTCTGAAAAAATAGTTTTTGAAAAGGTAATTAAATATGGTTTTCAACAACACCAACATTACTGAAATCCAACTAAAGTCAAAGTCAATGCATTAGAAATGAGCATTTTTGCTATACTTTGCAATAGAAATTGTATGCACAAAACAGCGATATGTTGTTTAGCTAGTTTTTTAGCTTTAAGAATTAATCAACAGAATAAAAAATTACTGAATCACAAAATTTTAATTCTTTTGGGACGGAGGCATTCCGTTTGCAACATATTGCTGATTTATGGATAGAAAACATATGCTTTTACTTGATAGAAACTGTGTGATATTGCGTCTCATTTAATTATGTGGATAAAAATGTTCTTTTATTATGCACTGCAAATATATCTCAGTGGTCAGTATCTCTCAACATGTCCTTTCCAATCCAATTTTTAAATGGATTCAATTTTTTGCAAGCATGCCCTTGTATCAAATCAATATTATATTGGAACTTGAATAGAGTAGGATTTTATAGACGCTGTCTCTTTTCACTTTGAGACCCTTATGGTCTGTGTACTCTTGAATGTTATATTTTTCTAACACCCAAGTCACATTTCCCACGGCCGCCGTGCGGTCTATCATTTCTGCGGCCAGTAGCTTTTCTACGCTTGCCGTATAATTTCTGCGCTCTCATACTTTTGCAGTCACATTTCCCACGGCAGTCGCACGGTGAATTTTAAATTTCTGTTGATAAGTAATACTTTTTTTCATTTTATTTACATCAAGACAGTTTATAAATGTTATTTATAGTGCTAGGATGTAATATCAAATGAAAAGTGATCGTGAAACATTGACAAATAATGATTCAATCTTGTTGAGCCAGTTGAGTTCTACTGGGACCTCAGAAATGAACAAATATTATAACTCCGAGTTATAATTTCTACGGCGACCCTGCGGCCTGTAAAAAACTGGATACGCCGTACGGAGGCCCTAAAGCGAGCGTAGTTTTCCTACGCTCGCCGCAGAAATACACTGATTTAATCGATCTTCGGTCGACGCACGCCTTCCGTACGACAAATGTGACTGGGGTGTTACTGTGTTATGTGACCGTTTTTGTTTTTGGTACTGTCCCGTTGATACTTGAGCATACATATTTTTATATATAGATATATATTTTCCTGATAAATCTCATGTGAAAATGACTAAATTTTGATTTTAAGAAAGTCCCCTGGATGAAAAATAAAAATGATGGACATTGACTCCTAATTTCTATTTTTAAAGTGTTTAGCATACAGTATAATTGATATGAGCTCAAAAATATAATACTCCAAAATGTGTTTAAGGATAAAAATTAGATGTTGAATTTAGATAAGTACCACGCCCACTTTTATTGAAAAGTGACATTTACTTCTCTCTCACCATCCCAAGCATCCAACAAAGTGGAATATTAGAACATGCTTTGGTAGCCTTTGTAAATTCAACTGACGGCTGACGGTTAAACCATTTAGATATGAATGAAATAGTCCCAGGTACTATTAATATTTGAATGATTTGGCCAAAAAGTAGTAGATTTATTCGTCGGCTGTCAATCGGAAGATTAATTTACGAATTCTACCCAATTTTCAGTAATACTAGAGAACTTATTTTGTCACCGTTTTTAAATTTTTCTCTAGCGTGATAGGTAGTAAGTAAAAATGTAGGCTATACGTCTAATAGTTCATCTTTTGTAACATCGTGTAAATAGTAAATAGTAGCCGAGACAAGTCCCAAGGCTATATATTTTTTCACATTTCTTCACTTTTAAGAGTTAAGTCACCACATTTTGCATGCACATTTCTTGAAGAAATCCTAACATAGAATTTCAGTGGTTTTTATTATAATTAATTTGTTAAATATAGGGAAACATTTGATTGTGATTGGTTTATCATCAACATGTTCCATTTTGTGCGACAAATGAAACATTTTGACGTAATTAATTAAAATCCAATTTATAAATGACAGATACAATATGGTGTCTCTATTCTTACTGACAATAACTATCATCCTAGTTATTTTTGCAAGTCATCAGATCATGCATTGGAAGTGTACCCCTATGAAATTTGCATTCATTGATTGTGGCAAGTAGTGAATTTATGGGTACCAAATTGAAGCACAAGTTGCGAGCTTTAAGATGATACCAAATATGTCATCATTTATTTAATTAAAATGGTAACTGGAATAAGCTCAAAAGGTATGCCACTCCCTTACCACATCCATTTTCAGGCCATTGAAATCTCAAATAATGCAGGCATTTTCAGGGGTCATTTTTGGCCCCGTTTTATTTAAGATATCGTGTTTCTGCATACCATTTTCGGAAATTACCTAAAACAGTTACACTTGTACTGGATAAGAAAACATTTGGTCATTTTGGAGCTATTGCACAAGATGGCAAATTTTGGTGATAGACCAATCAAGATTTTAACTAATAAACTATAATCAAAACCAATAAAATTCCATTTTAGGATTTCTCCAAGGAATATGTATGCAAAATGTGGTGACTCCTAAAAATGAAGAAATTAGAGTAAATATACAGACTTGGGATCTGTGTTGCCTCGGCTACTAATTAGTTGGCACCATATGGCTGTTCAATTTTAATGTAAATATCAACACTGACCTTCATGGAGGTGATGAGTGTGAGTATCGTGTTTTATTATGTCCCTTCTTCACCAAAATATATAGAGTTAACCCCTCGAATGCCCCGAATGATAGATACTTCTGTCACAAATAAAATTCCTTTGGAACTCAGACGACAGATAATCTGTCAAAGAATTTTTCACTAAAATGCTCTAACGTTGACATTTTCATCCAAACTAAAATCATTTTAAATGTATATTGCTAAGTAATGGGTCTATGTTTACTTTTGAATACGTATGTATATTGCACTTATGAAATCATTCATCAAACAGTGCGTTTTTAGATGTTAATGTCCAGAAACTGACAAACATGAAAATGCTCTAGTTTCAACCCGTTTTGGAGGCTGGTATTCAAGGGGTTGATGGCATCTTAGGCCTATCAAATCCATCAACCGGTTAGTTAGTTAATTAGAATTATTGCCCGGACAAACAGACAGACAGACAGCTTTCCTATGTCCCCCTCAAACTTTGTTCGGTGGGGTAAAAATATAAGGCATCTGTCTTCTAATGCCAATTTCAACTCACTGCTGGCATTGCGGATTTCAAAACAATATAACAAAATATATAAATGTGCATATCTATAGGCAAAGCAAAGAATTTTATTAAGTAACACAATATTCAACTGTACAATATTTGAGTCTTGAACAACAATTTCTACAAAGTGATTGTCATGGATTTTGGACAGAAATGCATTTTCAACAACATTCATACACAAACATACATACACACTTATTTTTTTGTTCTATCTGAAAAAATATATAAATATTTCACCTCTGTAATACTATTCAGAAGAAATGTCGAGCCGAAAGTGATATTGCAACGACATTAGCAGCTAGCGACTAAGTGTCCATTTTCATAAGTCCGTGTCATTCATGGGTCAATACACTCCCTTCTAGTGTGGCAACACTAAAGGGGTCTAAAGTGTGGCAAAACTAAAGGGGTATATGTGTTATATAGCATTGCAACAATGTATCTCACCTCTAAAGTGTGGCAAAACTAAAGGGGTATATGTGTTATATAGCATTGCAACAATGTATCTCCCCTCTAAAATGTTGCAAAACTAAAGGGGAGTATTTTCTTTATATATAGCAGTGCATCAATACCCTATGTCCCTCTCATGCTCTCCCAAACAATATAAATAGTTAACGAGGACCACATGAACTTCATGCATTGCAATATCTAAGAAACCCTTTTCGTTATTCGTTTGGGTCATCGTATAAAGATAAAAGATAACAGATAAAGATATCACAGTTCCTTTTCTAAATACCCCAATGACCTGAGTCATATGAGTTTGAAGAAATACGTTAAAGTAACAGAATTCGAAGGATCAGATAATACATTTTGCATATTATTTTCATATCCCAACCTTTGTCAAATTTGAGTCTGCTCACAATTTGATCAACAAAATAGGTTTGTATGTAAATATTTTCAAAAACAGTAAAATACATAAGTAAATAGATAATTATTCAATGTGGCATTTGTTTACATCAAATATTCCCAAATGCTTTGGCATTAACGAGTTTGACAATGATTTGGCTGGCCATTTTAGATAAGAGGTGGGGTTATCATTTGAGCCAGTTTTTCATTTAACCGATTTGTTTTGTATTTCTTGATTTGTTATAGTCATTCCAAATGAATATATTCAAACTGATTATCTGACCTTCGCATAAAGCAATAGTCATTTAGTCTTGATCTGTTGGATTCAAAGTGTTTTTAGTGAATATAAATGAGTATTTTTGCATTTAGGTAATATATATACAACGCCTTATGCCTTGTATCCGCCATTTGCGTAATGCGAGTTGTGATGGTGTTGAATGATCGTCTTCTCGTTGTCATCTTTGTTGTTGCGCATGCGCATGAAAACTATTAGCCCAGCAATGAGACAGAGGAGGACTAAACCTCCCACAATTCCAAGTATAATGTACATCAAGTTGCTGTCGCCACTGATTGTGTTTGTATTTGTTCCAGAGTTTGCCCCTGAAGAAAATTGATAAATAAAATAGATAATTAAGAACCATAGACTGATCATTTAACATTATTAATTATCTTCATTACAAAGTACAGATGAATCAATCACTTCTCGTGAAAACATTCTACTAACGACAGGGCTACTTAAATGAAATGAATCAATCTATATAAATAAATCCATGTTGTGATGAGAATGTATTACCTGCATTGCCAGCATTATCGGATTCCTCCGCAACTACGTCAACTTCGAATGTGACGTAAGTAGTTCCGGCTAGTGCATCGGTAGCTTGACGTTTTGCGAGTGCTCTCTTTTTTCGGCTTGCTGTTTCACAATTTTGCTGGAAGGAATTGTTAACTTACAGTTGAATGGTATTTTGGGATGTTGTTGCTCTTAGTTTTTTGATTTTGTTCTCGAAATGGGGATGTTTGGTGGGTATTCCGCACAAAATGATGCACGAAGCGTTTATGTGTACGGCCAACAATAACAGGTAATTCTAAATTATCAGAAAATTCCATGAATAGTTCAGAGGACTACTTACTAATTGATCACTGAAATTATTTTGAAATGATATTTTACTGAAATTCTGGAACATCTTAAATAAGATGAACTTACCCCATCACACTGGTCGGCTATTCTGCATACTTCAATTTCGCATGTGAATTTAACTTTTGCACTTTGTCCGCCTCCAATTGTAAACATTTTAAAGTCAGGGCTCCTGCTCAATGTTCCGGATGCAACGGTGACAAATCCACTGTCACTTTGGAATTGGGCACCAATACCCAAAACTGGACAACTAAAATATAATTTAAAAAATGTCAATGATGCCACAATCACAGACTCGCAACCCCAAAATACTACGAATAAATAATGAGGATACATAAACAGATGCATGCTCGTGGATATAATTTTTATCATCTTGTGGATCTTAACAGTTGTTTATTAATTCTGTTCTTTTCGTTGAGTTTTGTTATTGTCTTTGGTGTTTTCCATGTTGGCACCAAGTGTGCTTACATATCAAAAGGTAGAGCACCAATACACCGCAACCAAAGACGACCGGTGTGAAAGAAATTATGGTCCCCCAAGGGATTATGGTCCCCTTTCTTAACGGTCCTTCTGTCCCTGATTGTGTATAAGATAATAAGGGAAAGGGGTCACCATATAAATCAACGAGGAGTAGGACCATAATTTGATAGGACCTCCTACCCGTTTACACCTGGCAAAATTCCGAGTCGTCTTTGTGTAGTTAGGGTTTAAGTTATCCCTCAGTCATACTTGATCTACGGCAAATTAAACGTAAATGGCGGCCGTAGCCTCCCATTTTAATCGAGAGAAATATGCAGCATAAAATGTAGGGATAAGCAGTACGATATAGAACGTTTATTTATCAATTTTGTGAAGGTACGATCGCCGCATGGCCGTCATAGATCAAATAAAACTGGGGCTATTTAGGGTTAGGGTTATCTTCGGCCATCTTTCGTTGCGGTTCGGAAATTGTTACCATATTCAAAAGAAGTACTTACTAGTCTGCGAAAAGACTAAAACAGTTCGCATTTAGATCGTTGCAGGCTGTGCAGGATATGATTCTGATGCTGTTTTCGTCCCCAGCTGAAATTATAGTCATAAAGAACCATAAATTCTAAATTAGACGTTCCATATCTATAGCTACTGTATTCCATACTAACTGAGGTTCTTTGTGTATGACATTCGGGAATATATAGTGAATCTAGGGAGCGGGGTGGATATGTGCATCTCCTTTAATCTCTTCTGTGCTTTGAGAAATACACATATTTTCCTCGGGATAAACCCTAAATCCAATGAATGGAGTGAATCTTAATATATTTACGTTTGGGAATTATATGAACCAAAGGCTTATTTGTACTTAACATCATAAATATCATCATCATCATCAATTATACTATAATCCATCAAATAAAATGATTGAACTGACGTACCTATGGCAGGTGGAACAGTTCCGAGGTCCTCGCCGTACATGAGTGCTCTGAGGTAGACCTCCGTGCCGATAAGAACCTCGCCTCTTGTCACTGTGTTTTCCGAGTCCCCATCTCCGTACATAAGTTGGAGCTCGTATTTGCGGTCAAGGGCGTTGGGTGTTGCAGTAGCGACGACATCGTCTGGGTTACTACGAAAAATAGAATACAGATATTGATCATAAGAATATATATAGTATATACAATGGAAGTACGTCATTAGGATACATCAAGCCCGTAGGTTCGAGCAAAACCTTCCTTTTGGCCAAAACTTCTTTCAAATCATAAAACCATACAGTTTTCACCATTTTGAGCATTTCTCAAGTGATTTGGGGCCAGAATGGTCAATTATGGCCCCCTCGCCATATTTATGGAGGGGGTGTACCTTATGCACGATAGAGACAAGGAAATTTTCCCCATAAAATATGGAAATCTTAGCCCCGCGTTGACTTGCTTCGTGTTAAAGTGTATCTTCATTTGATTTGTTATGCAAAAACTGTACGTTTAAACATTCAGGCTGGAAATACAATTCCGATTCCAGATTTTTTCTCAACTTTTTACATGACATTGTACATGTATATGTTCTTTACCTTGGAACTCCACCTTCGATGATTTTCCCCAATCCGACCAGATCTGTTGCCTTGTACACGCATTGGATGTTAAAGTACATATCATCAGAGTTTGCAATGTCTCCCTCTCGAACCACGAGCTCAACTTGGATGGTCTGTGCATCCTACAGATAACAAATCATATATTGGCGTTTTAACGGTTCAATCTTTTCAACTGGCAAGTTAAATTCCTCGGGTCTTGTTTGGAGTCCGACAAGGGTAAAAAACTAACATAGGAACGAGTAGATTAGACAAGTGGCATAAAAAGCATTTACTCGATAATAATCTGATGGTCTGAGTCTAAACTTTTCCTGCTAAAATTGAGGGAAATTCAAATAGTTGAACAAAGACTGATGACCATAACTTTTTTCAATTGTCAACTTTTTCGAAAAAATGTCTCAAACAATTTTTTTAGATCATGACAATTTGTGTCACAAACCGCGAAATTCAAACCCAAACGTACCAATCTCTCCTGCCCACATGCACCTTCATCTCCCACTGCTAGCGGCGCTTGCTTTATCTCTAAGGTGTAGTTCCATGGGCTCGCAGAGACATCTATCGTCTCTATGCAATCAACACCAAGATCAACCTATAAAGCAGTAGTTAAAGAACATAAGGAAAAATTAACCAGACGTATAAAAACCATGAAAATTCGAAATAAAAGTAGAAAAATATATGTTTTCATCATGCAAAATATCAAATCAAAGGATCTATGTTGAATTGATTTTTCATGAAAGAAATCTCAATTTAGTCATTGCCGCTGTCCCGTCCCTGCCCTGGCGTCATTCAGCATGGAAAATATGTAAATGAACCATATCACATAGTTCAAGACAATCTGTCTCGAGTAAATTGTGTCATGTAAAATCACCCATTATGATAAGGAATTTTGGTAACGTAAATACCGTGTGGTTTCTTCGGTATACCTTAGTTGTGTTTAAATTGAGCATTTCAATTTTAAAATTACCTATTGTAGAGGGTAATTTTACATTTGTACATACGTTAAACGTTGACGTTGTTAACTTACTACATGTTCGTATCCTTGTGGATATACGGTGGCGTTAGAGCCCGTTGTGGAATCCCAGCTCTCGGGGGTGTACATTACGTTGATGATAATTGGACCAAATCCCAATACACTGTCTTCTGTGCCGCATGATACAGTTACTGTAATTGCCAAATGAAATATTTTATTCCATAATTTAATCGAAATAATTCACCAGGGAAATGATAATTGAATGTAAAGATCGTACCATTTTAATAAAATAGATTTTCTGTTCAGAAGTGAATATGGCTTTTATTCATTGTAATAATATTCAAAATAGTGAGATGGTTATCTTAGTATTGACGTATCGAAATAAAATATGTAAAGTATCAGTTGCGGTCCAGTCTTTGCTATAAATACATATTATTTCCTCTAAAATTACAATCCGTCCCCTTCTAAAGCCTAACGCAAACTATCTCAGAAGCTATCAATTAAAAAAATGTCAGGCACATGGAACTTTGAAAGGAAAGCTATGAGCATTTCTAAGCTAAAGATACACAAAATAACATAAAAGGTCGTCTTGAACGCACATCGGAGTACCCACATCTTGTCCCCCTCCCCCTGTAAGAAGCTGTACCCCACTCCCCCTACAAGAAGTTGTACCCCCCCCCCTCCCACTACAAGAAGTTGTACCCCCCTTCCCCTATAAGAAGCTGTGCCCCCTCCCCCTACAAGAAGTTGTACCCCCCCCCCCCACTACAAGAAGTTGTACCCCCCTTCCCCTATAAGAAGCTGTACCCCCCTCCCACTACAAGAAGTTGTACCCCCCCCCCCACTACAAGAAGTTGTACCCCCCTTCCCCTACAAGAAGTTGTACCCCCCCTCCCCCTATAAGAAGTTGTACCCCCCCCCCTCCCCATATAAGAAGTTGTACCCCCCTCCCACTACAAGAAGTTGTACCCCCCTCCCACTACAAGAAGTTGTACCCCCCTCCCCCTATAAGAAGTTGTACTCACGGTCGCTTGCTTCGATATCAACCACAGCCTTGGAGACTCCAACGAGGCAGGCGAGGAAAAGAACTACCAGCTTCATACTGAAAGAGACATCGCCTTATTATCAATGAAACCGTATAAATGCATTTTGAAACTGCTCAGTTCATTAAAAAAACATAATGCACTGTAAAAATGTTTCTGTTCAGATGAGCATATACATTGAATTAATGCACTAGAATACTCTAAACTGATTGGCTGGGACACGCTTGGCATATTTGCAATGACGTTTATTACAAATAAACCATTGTAATTTCATTCGTCATTGTGTTTACACATTTTTCATCAAAAGTCACAAAGCTGAATGTAATGTTAGGTGTCAAACCTTGCTCTTGAAAGTGACCTTCGCATTCCTTAAACGTGTAAAAATGGAAGCTTGTTAAAAGTTGAAGGAGATATGTTTTAAAAGGGTTGAGTAGGTTAAATATCAAGTTTAGAACCTAAACCATAATCGATCATCGTCAAATATACTCGTCATGTAACCATTTAAAATGCAAATTCGGTAGAAAATTATGTTAAATGATTAAACAAAAATGAAACAAAGGTTATAAGGAGAATGCTCCATAGTCCCAAAGGGCCAATGGGAAAGCAGGGAATCTTCTCAATGTACAAGTGGCCTGAAATGAAACCTCTACTTTTTTAAAAACGACTAAGCTATACTTTTATCTTCTCTTTTTGCACTGCGATTAAAGCGCGTAACAGCAGTGTTTTGCTTTTTTATAATTGTCTTAACGACTTAGAGTTTTAGGTATATCACGTTTTTCCACGGCCACTTGTTCACACGCCAAATCCCTCAAAAATGCAATTTTTAAAGATGGATTACCTGCCCTGGCCATAGTTTCTGTATTGATATATCGTATCAACCGCCTTGAATAACGTAATGGACAATAATATGAATTGAATAGCCTAAAGATACATGTACTGTCAAACTTAAAATAGGGGCGCAGTAGCAGCATGTTTGTTAAAATTCAATCTTTTATTGCAAATTTATTGCGAAACACTAGGCATACTCTATACTTGATTGCAAATCTGTTTTATTGCTTATCCATTATCTTTTGAAAAACAACTGTTTTACCTATAAACTGTAGTTAAGATATCACAAAATTATTACCGTACTACGGTAACATTACTTTAGATCACATTCTTTGAAAATATGATTTGAATAAACTGTTACGTTTTTTGGTTTTCGGCAAAAAACTGTAATATTGAATGCAACAAAAGTAAATAATTTTTTAAGTAACTATTCAGCTAAAGCAATCATGACATAAATTTGTTATCTAATAATTAAAAACAATACAGTAATATCGTTGATGTCTTATTAATCAAAAAATGAAAAGCATCCTTACCTGTGTTAAGGTACCTTCGATTTAAACGAAATGAAGATTTTCTATTTTCTGTGACATAAATGTAGGCAGAATGTTGACTTAACTTTCAAAGTGTCGCTACGTAGTCACAGTCTGGGCGTGGTAAAAAAACATCAGTTTCAACATCTAAAAATTAATAGCGCAAGGCCAGATATTATTTACATAGTAAAATCATACCTCACATATACACGAGTTCATTGCATTCAATGCAGAATGGTCAACCGATTTCTACAGTTTGCAGAATGTGTTTTTATGGTACTTAAACAAAGCTAGATTTGAAGACTCGTTTACATACAAATCCTTCAAAATTTCGTTATCTAAAAAAGTCATTTCTGTTAAAGAGAATACTTGGGTATGATTGGTACAGTATGTTATTACACAATAATTATCATCATAAAATAAAACCATCAAGCGATATTTTTTGTAAATGTCAGCCTCGTAATAATAGCTCGCCTTGTAAGCAGTATTAAAAACTCCAAAATCAAAAAGCTGCAAATTGCGCGATTAATTTCGACAGATAATTTTCAAAATAAAATAATGTGTTTTCAAGTTTAAGTTACATACCATCATAATGATTAGAATTTTATATGGAAGGGTAAGATTAATCAGTTCTTGTTTAATCTTAGGGGATTAAGATTGTTCTTATTTTCAATGTTCTATTTATATGTCAAGATAGAACAAGACATTAACCTGTTCAGTTCACCAAATGTCACCACCTAGCTTCTCACAATGTTATGAGTTCAAGCTTAAGTCAGATTTAAACTTCGTAGACCTTGTAAATGGTGTTGAAAAAATGGTCAATTTGCTTTAAATTGATTTAAAAATACCTTATTGGCCTTTTTTGGCCTTGAGAAGGTCATTGAAGGTCAAATCTCAAAAGTAAGTCAGATTTGAACTTCTGAGAACTTGTAGATGGTTTTGAAAAAATGGTCAATTTGAAGCAAGTTGAAAAAATACATGTCAACTTAAAATCATCGGTGGTGACATAATAACAAAACGGCTAGCCACTTTGCTAGTCGAATTTGGACAATTCTGTTGTTGGTCAGAATTTTTACCATATTTGATTAATGCGTTTGAAATAGATCATTTGAGATCATAAACTGTTTTAAACATCATTTTGAAGAAATTTGAAATACTTGATGTTGCAAATATGCGCTCGCGCATAACGTTTGTTTTGTTTTTTTTAATTTTTCCTCAAAAGTTCAACATACCGAGTGTCAAAGACTTTTGATTGTGTTTACTCGCAATGTTGGGAATTAATTCGAATCCTTGTAACATGTAAAAAAACACATCTTATTTGTTTTTAAGATTCACGCTGAAATATTAAAATGATATCAAAAACACTATGTATTTGCTAACAATTATTGGACTTGATATATACCGTTCTGTCAATATTCGTTGTCTTGGTGATCATAAAAACGTCACCAATCAGAGGTGCGGTTTATTTACACATGGAGACATTTCAATATACAACACAATAATATTTGTTATCGATCATCACGGTTATTTTTTAGATTTATAAAGTAAAATGATAATTTATAGAAAGATGCATCCTGAGCAAAGAAAAATAATTCTGTTTTTAACAGTTCCTTTAAGGAAGTAAATAGATGCAATATAAAGTATTACTATGTTTCCATAAGGAACCAAATTTTGTTTATGAAAAAATTGACATATCTAGAATTGACATATCTGATCAAATATCCAAGTTACTGAATATCAAATATTGTCAGATGAGCTTAAAGATAGAAGGTGATCCTTGTATAAACTAAAAAAACTTTGGGACTTTTTAGAAGCGACTGCTATCACCAAATTTTATTGAAACAGTAATGTTACAGATTACATTTTTATTCAAACGGTGAATACAGTATGATGTCTTATAGAAGCAGCGTATTCTCTTTATCCGTTTGCCATGCCTCACCATGAGTTTTGCCTCACCTATTTGCGAGCCCCGGTTAGTGACTTTGCCTCTGATTGTTCGTAATGGTGAGGCAAATATTGTGAAATTGTGACATTTTGTCGAAACTAACTCTCAATTTGTATCTCAATTTCTACTTCTAATATTTGAATGAATGTGTAAGTAAAATCGACGCTCCTTTCATACTATGTATGAATGTGAGACACTTTTTTAAAAATGTAAGTCGAAATAAATAAATATTCAAACGCGTGAAAGAGACAGACAATCCCGCTATCTGTCCATCTTTGAAATTTAGAATTAAAGGATTTTAACGGCTTAACTGTCCAAATCACTATCGATGAGGGAATCACTGTCCATACCTTTTTATAAATTGCCATACGACCTAGAAAAATCAAAACTTGGATTTTTGCATAATGGACATAAATAGTATAAAAAGTGCTATAAACTGCAATGGTTTTGAATTTGAGAAAAACGTAAACTGCAATACTTCTCGTTTTAATTAAACACTTGCCCTCAGATGATATTCGACCCCTCCATGCCTCTCACTTATCAAATAATATTAGAGGTTAAAAATGGCGATCGTATGAGATCATTGTTTAAATGTTTTTTCAAGATTTTGAAATTTCTTGCTTTCAAGACGAATTAAAAATGATATGGTAAACAAAAAATCAATATTCGTTCCGGTCTAACCTTACAACGCAAACACTCAAAGAATACGACATTCCGATAATATGAATTCAACAATTAGAGTATTTATTTTTGGGGTGACAACAGGGGTGACATTAAATAGACATTGTTGACCATAGATTCTTTTAGAATTATAGATGAAATAAATTTAATCCAAACGAAAAATATTTGCTGGGAATTGTAAATATGCTAGAGATTTATTTTAGAGTGGACCAGAGAGATAAAAAACAAATATTTGTTATAAGTGGAAGTCCAAATTGTATTCTTTACAGAATCAAGTGATATAAAAACGTCCTCCTCTAATGTCAATAAGGGTTCGCCGACTTAAAGAAGTTCTTGAATTATCGAAACTAAATATTTTTAATCACGGAGTACATTTCTTTTATTCTTTTTGAGAGAAATAGTGTGAGTCAATAGTAGACCTCTATGATGTGGTGGACTTTGATGGAAGTTTACCTAGTTTTTACAGTACACTGGACTTTTGAGTCTGCGCTCTCATTCATATAGATGGCGAACTGTATCAAAATTTCCTTATTTGCTTCGTGCGGTATTTGTCTAGATGCAAGGATATGAATCTTTGGGCTACCGGGGTGAAAGAAATAGTCCCCCAGGGATTATGGTCCCCTTTCTAATCGGCCCTTACTGGCCTTGATTGTGTATAAGAAGATAATAAGGGAAAGAGTTGTATTTAGGTCACCATTTAAATTTAGATGACGTTTAACCAGTAAACACTTTTAAAAATTACTATTAATGTGTAATCTAAGACCAAACACTTTTGATATTGAATTAAACCGTGAATTTTTAATATAAATATTCATAAGGAAAATGACAATATAATATAGCAACTTTGATAAAAAAAAATATATTAAAAAGCAACTTTGATAAGCAATATGACCATAAATGACCCAAGAATAAAGAAAATAAATAAATATCAAAGAGACATATAGTATATTCATTAAAACCACCTTTTTATTCATATCTCTCAAACCAGTTTTTACATTAAAACCTAAAAAGAACCTCAAATATTTCCTGAAAAAGACAGACATTAAGAAAGCCTGAATCCATATGTATTTTACAATTTACAGGGTTCACTAATATAAATATTAAGTTGATTTAGTAGGGTGAAATTTATTTTGCGTTTTTTATCTTATTTGACTTGTACTTATCACATTCTTTTATGCACAGTTTTTTGAAATGATTATATTGATTCGTTCTAAAATGTCGGTACACAAAGACATTGATATGAGAACATATTTGATGACGGAGACATACCTGAGATAGGCGTGTCAACTACCCACAGGAAAATTTTACGTTTTTCATTTTCATTTTTAGACATATTCTGGTCTGAAACTGAAAAATATCTCACACAATGGTATAATATTCTATTTGTTTTGCCAAACCTTTTGCCAAAGTGCAAGTTTTGTCTCATCACAGTTTTCTTTGGTGTCCCCTTTTTTGGAATCTGACTAAACTGTTGGTGATATATAGCATTATTCAAAGTAAATATACACATGTAATTCACGGTTTGTTTTTCTGGTAAAAATAATAACAACTCAGTTGATCGACTTTCTTCCAGCTTGATATTGAAAGGACCAAGCATTTTTTCTGGCCTTTAAAATATTAAATTGGCAGTTTTTCTGTCGAACTAGTCTTTGTTTAAAAGCACATTTCAATCTCATTCTGTAAACATAATCGCTAACATAATCTCTAATTATTTACATTATAATAATAAACAACAATTAATAATCTGTTCCGTTGCATATATATGTATATATCAAATGTGTGAACATGTATTGATATTTGCAATATCACAATATAGATATCTGAGGGCATATGTTTCAGATATCACATTTATCACATATCTTTATCACATATCACAGATATCAGATAATATCATTCACTTTTTAAGTTATTTTCACACTTTTCATTACATTGTATTACACTTGTTTTTTACACTTGTTTATAATATGTATAATACTTTGTACAGATATCTGGACTACATATCTTGACTAAATATGTTGACTACATCCTATTAACAACATATTTATTTTCCAGTTTGTCTTTCAAAAACTTAAGACCTTGGAAATTCAAAATACTTAATATAGAGATTACATTGATTAATAAAATATTTGAAGTTTAAGGCAGTGGAAAAGTAGTGAAAACAGCCTGTTAACCTTTTGATAAATTGGACTGCCATCTATTTGAGTCCCAGGTACTATTTTCAATGAGCATCTTAGTTCAATGTTTGCCTTTGAGAAATTGAGATTCATAACTTAACATTCCATACAATAACTAAACATACCGAAGCAACTGAATCTGTAAAGTGAAACACCTATTAAAATCATAAAAATGTCATACTTTGATTTAACTAAGCAGAACTGTAACATGGGAATTGTTCAAACACTTGATAAAGAATTCTGGAGAGAGTGCTACGATGATTGAATCATTCAATGATATAGTATATACTGGTATGGTGTCAGTATTTCAGCAGTGGAAAAATGCAGGCAATATATACATAGTTTGGCTGTTCTCCAACAACTGTAAACTTTTGAACACCATTTCCTTAAGCCATCAAATTTCACTCTTACTCAACTAATTCTTCATCCTAATCCAAATGTACAAAGGCACGTTCAACTTTTACACAACCTTATGTTCCATTGCTTTATCATGTTTAACATCATAATCTAAATGTACAAAGGTATGTTTAACCTCTAAACAACCTTATGTTCCATTGCTTTGTCATGTTCAACATCATAATCCAAATGTACAAAGGCACGTTCAACCTCTTACACAACCTTATGTTCCATTGCTTTATCATGTTCAACATCATAATCAAAATGTACAAAGGCATGCTCAACCTCTTACACAATTTTATACATGTAATATGCTCCTGTTTTACCATGTTCACCATTATAATCTAAATGTACAAAGGTATGTTTAACCTCTAAACAACCTTATGTTCCATTGCTTTGTCATGTTCAACATCATAATCCAAATGTACAAAGGCACGCTCAACCTCTTCCAACATCTCAATCTTACGCTGAAGTGGTTCCCCAATGTCATGCGCCTCTTCCAGTGTCATCTTAGGAGGTAACACTATGTCAACCTCAACAAGAAAATTATTCCCAAAATGATACGCCATGACACTTTCGATCATTTCAATGCTTTTGTGGTGATTCACACAAATCCAGGTGATTTTTTTCAGCAGGTCGGGACGCGCCGTGTGGCCTGTGAGAAGTTTGATCTGGTCCCATCCCGTTAGACTCCAACTAACAATAATGTAAATGCTTATGAGAACTGCTCCTATAGGATCAGCATAGCTCCAGTAGCGTGTCCCTGAAATAATAATAGTAGAAATCATGCTGCATTAAATCGACAAGGAATTCTTATGAAATATGAACAAAGTCACAACCTGAGGCATTATCCACAATTTGTAGCATATTATTCTTATTGTGCCAAAGTGCAATCTTGATGTAGCAATAAAATAGCTATAAAATTGAAGCATTACTACACTAGTTGCAATATTTAGTGTAACATTATGCCTTTAAGAGTAATGCATTTTGTTTACCAAATCTAACGCCCAGAATAATACTCAATTACTCAGATGCGAGTAGGTAGTTACCAGTTTCGCCACCAGGTGGCTGGTTCGGGGAATTAACATGGCAGGGTATTACAAAATTCCCTTAAACTTGAATATGCAACGGTTTGAGTGGTTCAATTTTCATATTACCCTTATGTATCTGATAGTTATACAAATTAAAATATGTCCAGTAAAAGAAAATATTATCTGCCCAACACAAGAAAAGATATTTCACTTTTGTGGTTTTACAACATGGGGTCTATGGGGAATCTCCCCGACCTAGAAGTCACATTTTCAAAGAAAATTAAATTTTCAAAGTTGATAAACTCTTTTCAAAACAACATTTTTAAATGTAATTTTACATGTAGATTCCAAATATGACATCAGTTTGACTGAATTGTGAATTTTTAATGACGTAAATCAGGATTATTTCTACTCGCATCTGGGATATTGGTGGCGCTTCAAGATCTTTCATTTCTGTTCAATGGGAAAAATTGATATATTGATTTACCCATCAAATATAAGTACAAAGCATGTTTTTTTAATACTTTATTTCAAGGATATCGAGGTCGGAAGTTGTGTCAATTAATGGAAGGATATTTTCTCATGGGTTTTCAATTATCTAGTTGAAAGCCCATGATCTCATGTAAAATTTAGACGGATGAATGGCAATGGAATAACTCTCGCCAAACCACTGTAATCACGAGACATTGTAAAACAAAATCATTATGGTGATTGGAGCGGTGAAATGTAGCTTTCAAGCCCACATATATCTTGTGATATTACCCATTCATTGGATAAGTTTGATAATCATGAGATAGATGTGAAAAACAACAAACAAGTGAATTATACGTGAACTGCCATGTTTAGAGTCCAGTACCTCATTATATATAAATCCCCTACTATTGTCTGGTTATATTATTATAGGGCACAGTTTGGAAATGCAGTCTGCCGTAGCTAACTTTCCCCAAGCATTGCATTTGTCTTTATATTTACAACCTTACCAATAAACCCCATCGCAAGAGCTACTAAGTTGGAGAGAACATCATTTCTGTGGTCCTGGGCCAATGTTTGAATGCTGGGGTTCGCTATTCTACGACACACCTTATTTGGAAAGATGAAAAAAGAAAACGCTTAGTTATCTTTCAAATGTGTAAATTTTCAAAAGTATTTTATCTCCAATTGAAAAGAATTTCACATTTTCCTATTCAAATTACACATCAGAATGGTAAATATTTAAATATCATAGTGATTGCTAAGTAAACAGTTTACTCACCAGAAACAAAACAAGCTTGGTTACTATGGTGAAGCTTAGTATCACAATGGTTGCTATGTCAACAGATGGACCGCTGGACTGGTCACCAGCATACTCAATAATCTTTTGGATTGACTCTCTGATCTGCAATAAATTTTTAAACACATAAAAAGCTAAAAAACATCAAAAATGATTGAGATTTACAAATTTTTGATTTATTTCTTAATCTTCAAAAATAGTCTAAATAAAACTCAAATCTGAGTTATGCTTTAGACAGATAGAGGGGAGGACTAAATGAGGACTCCACTTTATCTTTGCCCAACTTAGTTCATTGAGATAACAGATGTCTAAATCCTCAGACTTTTGATGGATTGAATTTAAGCAGCTTTGAATAAACCAGGCGCTGGCCATGGTGTCAAATCAGCACCTATATGATATTGAATTATTGTTTGGAGGTGTGCAGTGCACTAAAGTAGCTATTTCATAAGACATGTGTTTTTAAAAGAAACACATCTTTTATTGTTTTACATATTTTTATATTACTGGACTTATTTTCTTATTACCATTTGCACAGAAGCAAGCGCCATGACAACGGATATGACAATAATAGCCACAGGTTCCAGTTTTGTCCTTCCCTGGGGGTACAGGTACGGATTCCTCTGTTTCATAGCTCTGCTTGTCCACCATATGATCACCCCAGAAGCCATGTCAACAGCACTGTCAATCACACTGGAGATCACAGAAAGAGAACCTGCAATAAAGATGCCATATCAACAGCACTGTCAATCACACTAGAGATCACGGAAAGAGAACCTGCAATATAGTTGCCATATCAACAGCACTGTCAATCACACTGTCAATTTGAGAAAGAGAACCTGCAATATAGTTGCCATATCAACAGCACTGTCAATCACACTGTCAATCAGAGAAAGAGAACCTGCAATATAGATGCCATATCAACAGCACTGTCAATCACACTGTCAATCAGAGAAAGAGAACCTGCAATAAAAATGCCATATCAACAGCACTGTCAATCACACTGTCAATCACAGAAAGAGAACCTGCAATATAGTTGCCATATCAACAGCACTGTCAATCACACTGTCAATCAGAGAAAGGGAACCTGCAATATAGATGCCATATCAACAGCACTGTCAATCAGAGAAAGAGAACCTGCAATATAGATGCCATATAGATGCCATGTCAACAGCACTGTCGATCACACTGGAGATCACAGAAAGAGAACCTGCAATAAAGATGCCATATCAACAGCACTGTCAATCACACTAGAGATCACAGAAAGAGAACCAGCAATATAGATGCCATATCAACAGCACTGTCAATCACACTGAAGATCACAGAAAGAGAACCTGCAATATAGATGCCATGTTTCATAGCTCTGCTTGTCCACCATATAATCACCCCAGAAGCCATATCAACAGCACTGTCAATCACACTAGAGATCACAGAAAGAGAACCTGCAATATAGATGCCATGTCAACAGCACTGTCAATCACACAGGATATCACAGAAAGAGAACCTGCAATATAGATGCCATGTCAACAGCACTGTCCATCACACTGGAGATCAAAGAAAGAGAACCTACAATATAGATGCCATATCAACTGCACTGTCAATCACACTAGAGATCACAGAAAGAGAACCTGCAATTTAGATGCCATATGAACAGCACTGTGGAACACATTGGAGATGACAGAAAGAGAACCTGCAATTCAAATGCCATGTCAACAGCACTGTCAATCACACTAGAGATCACAGAAAGAGAACCTGCAACAAAGATGCCATGTCAACAGCACTGTCGATCACACTAGAGATCACAGAAAGAGAACCTGCAATATAGAGACCATATAAACAGCACTGTCAATCACACTAGAGATCACAGAAAGAGAACCTGCAATATAGAGACCATATAAACAGCACTGTCAATCACACTAGAGATCACAGAAAGAGAACCTGCAATATAGATGCCATATCAACAGCACTGTCAATCACACTAGAGATCACAGAAAGAGAACCTGCAATATAGATGCCATATCAACACCACTGTCAATCACACTAGAGATCACAGAAAGAGAACCTGCAATATAGAGACCATATAAACAGCACTGTCAATCACACTAGAGATCACAGAAAGAGAACCTGCAATTTAGATGCCATATGAACAGCACTGTCAATCACACTAGATATCACAGAAAGAGAACCTGCAACAAAGATGCCATGTCAACAGCACTGTCAATCACACTAGAGATCACAGAAAGAGAACCTGCAATTTAGATGCCATGTCAACAGCACTGTCAATCACACTAGAGATCACAGAAAGAGAATCTGCAACAAAGATGCCATGTCAACACCACTGTCAATCACACTAGAGATCACAGAAAGAGAACCTGCAATTTAGATGCCATGTCAACAGCACTGTCAATCACACTAGAGATCACAGAAAGAGAACCTGCAATAAAGATACAATGTCAACAGCACTGTCAATCACACTAGAGATCACAGAAAGAGAACCTGCAATATAGATGCCATATCAACAGCACTGTCAATCACACTAGAGATCACAGAAAGAGAACCTGCAATATAGATGCCATATCAACAGCACTGTCAATCACACTAGAGATCACAGAAAGAGAACCTGCAATATAGAGACCATATAAACAGCACTGTCAATCACACTAGAGATCACAGAAAGAGAACCTGCAATATAGATGCCATATCAACAGCACTGTCAATCACACTAGAGATCACAGAAAGAGAACCTGCAATATAGATGCCATGTCAACAGCACTGTCAATCACACTAGAGATCACAGAAAGAGAACCTGCAATATAGATGCCATATCAACAGCAATGTCAATCACACTAGAGATCACAGAAAGAGAACCTGCAACAAAGATGCCATGTCAACAGCACTATCAATCACACTGTAGATCACAGAAAGAGAACCTGCAATTTAGATGCCATGTCAACAGCACTATCAATTACACTGGAGATCACAGAAAGAGAACCTGCAATATAGATGCCATGTCAACACCACTGTCAATCACACTAGAGATCACAGGAAGAGAACCTGCAATTTAGATGCCATATCAACAGTATTGTCAATCACACTGTAGATCACAGAAAGAGAACCTGCAATTTAGATGCCATGTCAACAGCACTGTCAATCACACTGGAGATCACAGAAAGAGAACCGGGAACAAAGATGCCAAATCAACAACACTGTCAATCACACTAGAGATCACAGAAAGAGAACCTGCAATTTAGATGCCATGTCAACAGCCCTGTCAATCACACTGGAGATCACAGAAAGAGAACCTGGAACAAAGATGCCAAATCAACAACACTGTCAATCACACTGGAGATCACAGAAAGAGAACCTGCAACAAAGATGCCATATCAACAGTATTGTCAATCACACTGTAGATCACAGAAAGAGAACCTGGAACAAAGATGCCATATCAACACCACTGTCAATCACACTAGAGATCACAGAAAGAGAACCTGCAATTTAGATGCCATATCAACAGCACTGTCAATCACACTAGAGATCACAGAAAGAGAACCTGCAATTTAGATGCCATGTCAACAGCACTGTCGATCACACTAGAGATCACAGAAAGAGAACCTGCAATATAGAGACCATATAAACAGCACTGTCAATCACACTAGAGATCACAGAAAGAGAACCTGCAATATAGATGCCATGTCAACACCACTGTCAATCACACTAGAGATCACAGAAAGAGAACCTGCAATTTAGATGCCATGTCAACACCACTGTCAATCACACTAGAGATCACAGAAAGAGAACCTGCAATATAGAGACCATATAAACAGCACTGTCAATCACACTAGAGATCACAGAAAGAGAACCTGCAATTTAGATGCCATGTCAACAGCACTGTCAATCACACAGGATATCACAGAAAGAGAACCTGCAATACCCAATTGAAAGAAATAGTTGTCGAACGAATAGTTATGAACTTCTGACACAACATTGTAATTACAGTATGAAGATAATCAATTGTGTTTATTTTAAATGATGCAAAATCAATGATCTTATCAGAATGCACTAAACTGAGTTCAAATTTGATTGTGAATTATAGTTTGATATGTATGGACTTGGATTTGTTGATGTCATATATAATGCTAAAAATTGGTTACAAAAGTATTTACCAGAAATTACTGCGGCAACCACTTTCCCAATGAGAAGTAGCAGGTTTAGGAATAATGACGTTTTAGCCAAGATGTTTGCCATGCGTAAAACTTTCTTTTTTCGTTCATCACTCTCCTCTTCGTTGAAACTGTCCTGATGGGCCAGCTCAAAGTCTGCCAAGAAAAATACAGAATATAAGTTATTATTGTAAGATACTTATGTAATAAGTAGGCAATTGTCTCTGGCCTAAAATAACAGTTGAATTAATAGCATGTACATTTAATCAAATCCAATACTTCAGCACATCACCCTTTCAAATATGTTAATACATGTAACACTATTTTGCCAATGTACAAAAAATCAAGACAATAAATCCTTGCAAGGATTGGGTTATTTCTGTTGAAATTATCAAAGGAAGAGCTGAGCCAACTATTTTTCTCCAGTTCTGCAATATTGTATTTAAGTGGTAATTTTGCCTAATCATTTAATTTGCCTATTGCTTAATTTTTGCTGGTTCGGAAAATTACATGTCAGAAATATTTTCTTCATATTGTTATCCAATGGGAAGTTTCTTGTCATTAGGAAAGTTAGAATTAGGAAAATGATAAGATTTGATCATTCAGAAAATTAACCACTTGGAATAAATAACACTTATATAGTAATCAATGACAAACTTGACAAACTAAGAACATTCATACTTATTGTAAAAATTGGTGAACTTATTAAAATTGCTAAAAAAACTATTAACTTATTGTAAAATCAGTGAACTTATTGTAAAATTGCTAAAAATACTATCAACTAAATGCTATAACTTATTGTAGAATCGCGATAAACTTATTGTAAAATGATTTCTCTACACACTTGTAATGAGTTCATCCTGCGCTTTATAATAAGCTCTGACACTTTGTGGGAGTTTCTTGTCTGCTTTCTGCTTCCCGCGTCTCTTAGATGTGAAGACATCCAGGGACATTCGCCATTGGTCGTTTTTAGCTTCTTCTTTATCATCTGGCAAGTCATCAAGAAAGCTGAAAGACAAATGCTTCAATATTCATCATTTCTTAACCATAGAGGTGCCAGTGAGCTAATGAATCATAAAAGCACATTGATTTTCACAGTATTTTTATCAATAATGTGCAAAATCATAATTCAACCCATTTTGCTTAAAAATACACCACTAATGTAATATTTCACACTTGATACAGTGTAAACAAATTCTAGACAGCATGTTATTTTTAAAGATTTAACAGGATGCAAAAATACAGCACCATTGAAAAATTAGAGCCCCATCCAATCTGATGAATGCTGGTTATGAGCCTAAGTACATATATGTTATACAGTAAAAATTGTAAAGTGGAACATCTCTGTTACAAAAACACCCCGTAAATCCCATAACTCATTGGCTTGAAATGAACTTTGAAGTGAGTTAAACACCTTCCAAATGAAACAGCTTGTACAGGTACAATAGGTGTTTCGCTTAATACACAAGTTTTTCTTTATTTTCTATCGGCCATTCTTACCTTGCTGTGGAGGGCGTTATCTCCAACATAGGGATTCTTCGAGGGCAGTTCATACTGGGACAAATCGCTGCGTTATCACTTGATGAATGTATCATATTCCCATTCATAACAAAGCTTCCGGTTGTTTGAAGTTTATTCTTATCTGTTGTATCAGCGGTTAATTTAAATTCCCCGCTACTGTGACATTTACGAAAAGGAGGCAGTACATGCTGTGGGCTCTCCTGATTGGTTAAAAGTTTTTTGGTCGCATCTGGGCTACCAACGGGTGGAGACACTCCTCTGGCGATACTTTCATCTTCTGAAGACCCCCCAAGGCTTGTAACATCGAGAAGTATGGGAGATTGCGATCCTCTTGCCTTTTCGGCCATTTTGATTTATTTCTTCGCAAAAAGACTAGAATTGTTTGTATAATGATTATAACAAATGCTAAAAGTTTGCTGTAAAGTTTTTTTATCGAGAATTTTTGACGAACAGTATACAATATACTTTAACGAGTTACTTGTTTGTTCTACAATAAATAATGCACAACATATATTGTGTACTGTGCTTAATTGATAAGTGCTTTGATTCAGTTGCTTTGCAGTATTCAGTATCCAAGATGAGTACACAATAATGTTAGAACCCCTTGTTCAAATTCCTGAGATTCTAACTGTTTTAGTATTCAAGCATTGAGAATCTGAGTAGAGTATTTGAGTAGAGTTTCCGAGTAGAGTATTTGAGTAGAGTTTCCGAGTAGAGTATTTGAGTAGAGTTTCTGAGTTGAGTATCCAATTGTTCAGTATTCATTTACATTCTTGCTGCATCCGAATCCTGAAATAAAAATAAAACAAAATTGTACAAATATATCGTGTATGAATTGATAATTCAATAATTTTTAAAAATTTATGTGACACAATCATTTCCTCTTATGTTTTTATAGTTTAATTCACACATAAAGACATCATTGAAATGTGCCAAGTAATGCAATAAATTGTCCAAAACCTAAAGATAAGATATGCTGGTCACATTTTGTAAAAAGGTGATCCATGATATCATGATATGTTTGAAAATATTAAATTGAGGTCAGTAGCCAGCTTTTTCCAAGGTGGGTTCAGTTTTTAAAAACTTCAGGGGGGTTCAAATTTGACAGTTTTGGCCCGATATCACTCAGTGCTAGAAATGGTGAAAAAATGCATGATTTTCAAAAAATTTTGGTCAGGAGGGGTCACCGGAACTCCCCCTGGCTATGAGCCTGAAGGTGGTGGTGGTAAAACTGCCACCATTATACAAAGGATCTTGTACACCTGCCATTATGATCTCCCCATGAACAAAAATAAATTCATCTGATTTTTCAAAATAAATATACTGCTTTTATTATTACATTTAAATGTACACTAGTATCTTGTTGACCTATATTCAGCACTGTGTTGATGAATGGGCCACTTTTTAGGGCAATATTCAATCATAAAGTGTACAGGCCTACAGGGGTAGAGATGCCAAACCAGGAAGTCTTTTTGTGTCTGTCAAAATCCATTTGCATCCTACACATCCCTACATCTTATCAAAATATGTTATTAATTAATGAATCATAACAGTATAATCTTTGGATTTACAAAGTTGTATGGGATTTCATAAGTGTAAAAGTTGCTTTTGAAGCATTTTTCTATAGCCATTTTGTAGGAAAAAAATGATGAAAAAAATGAATAATCTTTTAATTTGAAGTATGACCTGAATCGATTGCAAACTTTATATTTGCACATCTGATCTGAAATACCATTTGTGTCATATTGTGAAATTATTTAATTTGCAATCGATTCAGGTCATAGTGTATTTTTGGTATTTTTGTGAAAATCAATAGAAACCAATGGCCTCCATTGGAATCTGTTGGTATCCACATGTTAAGTCAATAGAACACATCCAATGTCAAGTCAATACACCCTTGCTGAACTTAATGACCCCAACCTCAGCCCATGTGGGGCCAAACGCTTAAATATTTTCCAAAGTATTATGTAACATTGTATTCTTTATATTACACCTAAAAATGATTCATTTTGTTCATGGGGAGATCATAATGGCAGGTGTACAAGATCCTTTCACCATTTATACCTCTCTAATCCGAAAAATCTCTCAATGTGAAATGCTTGAAATGTGAAATGCTTGAAATGTGAAGTGCTTGAAAGGTGAAATGCTTGAAATGTGAATATCTACTAATCCAAACACTTTTGACCAGTCCAAGAAGCATTTGGATTAAAACAGTTTCACATGAATGTTTTTACAAAGAAACATGATATGATAGTCAGGTACATGTACATGTACCTCGTTTTAACTGAACCCTTTTCCCATATTTCAGAGGATTCAACATGTAAACTAAATTTCAGCAAAATTGTTTTTATCTATACTCTTTGGACAACCCTCGTGCCGGCATGAGAAAAACAGTCAAGTCATACAAAGGACAAATTGTAAACATGTTTTATAACATTAATAAGTATAGAAAGAAAATAAATTTATTTTGTGAATAGCTGATTCACAGGCTGGTATCGAAAAATTTGTCCGCTGTGACGGAGCGTGCTATTTTGCATAGAATCACTAGGAAATCCACACAATTTATTTTTTACTCATATGTTTTGCTATATCAAAGAAAATTACTGACTCCATGCAATGAATATATCATTTGCGGGTAACTTTAAATTCTGTTTGAAGTCCAACAACGCTATGAGTAAAAGCTATTGAAAACGGCGTCGGAGTATCATACTCCAAAATGTAGCATTTCTTTTATTTCTTTTTAATGGTACAATATAGCGACACGATAATATTTACATATGTTTTCAGCATAACTCTGAAGGTATTAATGAGATCTTTATGTATTGGGTATTTTTAATTTTTTTGATAAAAAATAATAATTTTTTTTTTTGTCCGCTGTGACGGAGCAGTTTCAAATCTGAAATGCGTTAAGAATTTAGATTCATAATATATTTCTTAACAACTAAACTTTAGAGGAGCGAGCGTGTCAAATCTCTTTCGTAAAGTATTCTGAAAAATGAAATGTAATAAAAGTACACAATTCAAATTCTGAGATGTATATACGACCACTCTTTAAGCTTCTTTTCTCAGTTTGTACTGCAATCCAACTTATGCATGGTAACTCATGAAAATGATAGTCAACTTCCATTTCAGTAAAGGGTATTTGCCTTTCGTAGTGCCCTCTGTCCATGGATCCATCGGCCTAAAGGTAAGTTGAATGTATCTTGAAATACGAAAATGCAAAATTTGATTTTAAGATCGTTCTTTATTTGACTAAGAGTTATGGCTATCTGATGCAACTCCAGTAAAACATGTGTACAGTGAACACATATGGAGCCCAAAAATGTGTTCCCAGTTGGTATAGATGTTCACTCCACAGAGGCAATTTCATACAGAAGTCAGAGGAATATTTGATAAGAAGAGGTGTTCACTAGAGAAAGGTATTCATTGATACAGGTTTTACAGTGCAGCACGTTTACAAAGACTTTTTTTTATAATTTTAGTCTATGCAAAACGATGAATTTCAAATAATTACAAATTAAATCTGCATTGGGATCATCTTATAAACAGTAATATAATATTATGTGGTAAAAGGTTATACATCTGTCGGAATGCATGATGTCTGTGCGCTATTTCGAATAAGTAAATTCATATTAGCCCTATTTACACTACACGTGACATTTCAAGACGTCTAGGCGAAAACGTATTAGAAATATTATGTTGAGTTTACATCATGTTGATTCATGTTGATTTCAGTACAAACCTCCGAAAAATGCTAAGAGTGGTCGTTTTTATATCTCAGATTTACATTACCCCATATCTCCAAGAGGCTGCTTGTCATTTTTTAGGAAGTGATTTGTGACGTTCTCTCTTCTAAGGGTACTTTTAAAAGATATAATTTGAATCTTAAATTCTTAACGTAGTTCACAGTTAAAACTGCTCCGTCACAGCTGACAAAAAATGTAAACATTATTTTTTATAAAGAATATTAAAAATACCCAATACATCAAGATATCATTAATACCTTCAGAGTTATGCTGAAAACATATGTAAATATTATCGTGTCACTATATTGTACCATTAAAAAGAAATAAAGCAAATGGTACATTTTGGAGTATGATACCCCGGCGCCGTTTTCAATAGCTTTTACTCTTAGCGTTGTTGGACTTCAAACAAAAGTTAAAATTACCCGCAAATGATATACCCATTGCATGGAGTATGAAATTTTGTTTGGTATAGCGAAACATATGAGTAAAAAAAAAATTGTGTGGGTTTCTTAGTGTTTCTATGCAAAATAGCACGCTCCGTCACAGCGGACAAATTTTTCGATACCAGCCTGTGTGATTATAACCCTAACAATTATATACATCCTGTGAACTAAGCTTTATTTAACGATCACAATTAACATTTATAGGACATTTATGATTAAAGTAACCCTGGGTGATACACGTTTATAGATTTCATTGCTCTGCTATGCACTGCATACTAAAATACTTTTTTTATTGAAAGCAGGTGTAATTTCCAAAATGATGGCAAAAAATTAGTGTGATACTAGTGTAAGATTATGAATTGAAGTATTTATTCTACCCCCCCCCCCCATCATGGTTCACTTTGCTCCCATTGGTCGAAAGGTTTTTTAGGTTAGAGGGTATCAATTGAGGATACCACATTTTCCCTAGAACTGAACACTAATCATTAATGTTTACATGTAATGTGATTGAACTTTTATTTGATGATCATAATAAACATTTTATAGGACATTCATTTCGAGTCAGAGTAACCCATGTTACATGTTTTTGCTTTCACCACTCTGTTTTTGTGTAAATTGGATGAAAATACCACATACCACAACGTATGCTAAAATACTTTGTATTGAATGCAAGTCTGAGGTAATAAATAAAAAATAAAATTGCTTTGAATAAAATGTTAATTTCTGGAGTACCAATATTATAGCTTGTCATTTCACATCAAGATAAATATGAAAAGAATGTGTTAACAATGATTAAAACATAACTATCACATCTGCTTATGGTATTCAGAAACTAGAATATGGTAAAATTGTGACAAACAAAGGGGGCAAGCTAGAGAGGTAATCATGAGGTCATGTCTGAACATTGGGAGTTTCCTTCTCTTGTATATAATAGGCATAGCATCTTGTTTATCTTATTTTCTTTTATGTGATCTTTTTCTTTTTATCTTGTTCATACCTCTAAACAAACGTGACTCAAATATATCAATAGATGAAATCACACTTCAAGGTGAATAGTAAAATATACAGTTACATACCTGCCAACCTACCGTATTTTTACGGGAATCTACCGTAAATTTTTCGTTTTTCCGTAAAAAAATGACAAACTACCGTAAAAAAATACCATTTTTTCCCGTAAAAACGCCCGTAAAAAAATCTACCGTATTTTTTTCGTAATCTACCGTAAATTTTCTTTGTAAAAAACTAGTTTATTCCATGAGAACGGCCGTAAAATCTACCGTAAATTTTTGAAAATCTACCGTAAATTTTCGAAAATCTACCGTATTTTTGTTCAAACTACCGTAAAATTTCCCGTTATTGTTATTGGGAAATGCTGAAAAATTGAAGTCTTCCTGTACTGTCCCTGTAATATTCCTTCACCAACCCGGTATCGGCAGGTCTGTGGTTATCAGGTTATTGCGCATTTATCTAAGTAAGCTTGCGTGTAATCAGTCCAAACACCAACTACCACTAGCTAGAAAGAATTCTTTCTGCCATGATTTTTGTAGTTAACCAAACCCTTTTGTACACGGATCTTTATTCCGAATGCAACAAAAATATGATTTTAGTTGCGCTTCATCTAAATAAATGAGTGGAAATGCGTATGCATATTTAGCGTATGAAATATGCGTAGTTTGATTTGTTATGATCAGTAATGAACGACACATATACATTATACATAGTTTAATCAATTTGTGTACAGAACGATAAAATGTTGTATTTTTCATCAGAACACATTATCAGTAACAAATACTTAATTAAAAAATAAAGCATTGAGTTCTGGTTTATTATAAAAGTATTGTGATATCCGAATCTGAACGATGTCTCAGGGGAAAGGTTTCGGCAAATGCTCATAACAAATTATTTTTGAAAGACAATTGATCTGTACTTATTTTCCATTTGTGCCAGACAAACACATTGATATCATTAGAGACTTGCGAGTGAACAAATCAATATTTAATACCATATGATTCCAATGTTATATGAACATTATGTCTGTCATTTCAATTCGTTAAAATGATAGATCATCTAAGATGGTAAGTAAAAACGTGTAAAATCCATATTTTGTATTTCAGTAAATGTTTCATTCATGGTATTTCAAAACATCCTGATATCTAAAAAAACTGGTTAGAAGGTGAATAAAAGTGGAGATATGAATATTGTGTTCGTATTTTGAATCAATCTAGATTTATTGTAAAAAAGTTGTATATGTACATTTTGCTGAAACATTAAAATCCAAAGTTGCTGTCAGTCCATTGTAGGCATGGTAAATGAAGAATAAAAAGTGTTTAGTCTCTATTTATTCTTGAAAATAGTATATCTATTTTTTCTTGAAAATAATAGTTTTGTATAATTCTCAGGTGGTAGTTCTGCTTTACAAACTGTAATTATCAAAATCACTCTTGCAGTAAAATATGTATTCACAATAACAACAACAATATGACCACGTAAACATTGTATTAATATAGAAAACCGCATTGTATAAAGGTTTAACTACCGCATTTCTACCGAAAAATACCTCATTTTGGCAAATCTTCCGCAAAAGTACCAGTTTTTCAAAAAATTACCGTAAAAACTACTGCAATTTTCAAAATCTACCGTAAAACTACCGCATTTTTTCAAAATCTTCCGCAAAAGTACCGGTATTTCAAAAAATTACTGTAAAAACTACCGCAATTTTCAAAATCTACCGTAAAACTACCGCATTTTTTCAAAATTTTCAGCAAAACTACCGGTTTTTTCAAAAAACTTCCGTAAAAACTACCGCATTTTTTCAAAATCTACCGTAAAACTACCGCATTTTTTCAGAATCTTTCGCAAAACTACCGTTTTTTTCAAAAAACTACCGTAAAAACAACCGCACTTTTAAAAATCTACCGTAAAACTACCGCATTTTTTCTAAATCTTCCGCAAAACTACCGCTTTTTTCAAATTTCTACCGCAAAATTACACTTTTTTCAAAAATCTACCCCAAACCTCTGAAACTACTGTATTTTTTGAAAATCTACCGCAAAAACTACCGTATTTTTTAAATCTACCGCAAAAACTACCGTTTTTTAAAAAATCTACCGCAAAAACTACCGTTTTTTCTTAAATCTACCGCAATTTCGTTGAAAAATACCGCAAAAACTACCGTATTTTGAAAAAATCTACCGCAAAAATACAGCAATTTTAAAAAAATCTACCGCAAAATTTTGGTCTTAGGTTGGCAGGTATGAGTTAAAACCCTTCTAATATGTATCACATAATTCTATTTAAGAAACAACATTGAAACGTGATGACTTGGTATAATACTTTTGAGTAAACTACCACGGGGCATAGAGCTAAACAAGTTTATTCCTTCAGTTGTATGAAATTTCTTGATGGATCAGAGGGAAATATTATATTGGCTGCGGAATATATTGTTAAAATGTATACCCCTGCCCTTCTCTCCCATATCAGTGAATATATTTTGATTGGGCAGCTGGATTTTAATAGAACATATTCCTAGTATTCTGATTGGTTAAGATCAGGGTGCACTTTGATGAAATTTTATGACCATGTGCTATTTTCAGATAAACATAACTCATTCCACACATCATGTAGTACATCTTTCATTCTTGCACAAAAGATGCATTAGTGTACAGTCCTAGACTATTAATTGATGGTTGATAATTCTTCAGAATATTTGAATAACTAGAATATTCAGTGATTTACTTTTCAAAATTGCAAAAAAATTCCAACATGCACCCTGGCACTCAACGTATAGATGAAGCTCTCTTTTAAGAGACAAAAATCAAACCACTGGAAATGTTAATCTGCTTTGTTACTGATTTGTTAAGATTCTCATAAGATCTGGGATGTTTTTGAAATGTTTGTTCGCACTGATACAGAGTTTTTAGAATTTATTGGTGTCCAAAAAATGACAGCTCCTCTCTAGCAAAATGAATGATGGTATTCTTTGGGGGAATCCACCATTCCAAACATTTCCAATACCTGATAATTTATATTCTATATACTTAGTAGAGGATACCCTAATGTGGTAACGTACATTGTAATGTGGTTGATTGAAAACATTAAAATCATTTTAAAAGCACATAATGGTCCAGACTTTATACTGACAGTCAATCAGGCTGTTATATGTCAATTATATATCCGAGTTATCAGGATCTTCTCCTTGGAAAGGAAAGTTAGATGTACACACATGTATGTGATCTCTTCCCAAACACACCCAGAGATTACAGTATGTTCTATCATAATGACTAGATGAAGCCCTGAGAGAGGGTGCCCCTAGGAAATGCCAGATACAGACACGGAAATGCTCTGTGTACAGAAGGATAGTGTAAGAGTTACAGATGAGCAGGCCCGTAGCCAGGTAGTATGTATCCAACAGACTGACAGAAGTCAGTCTGTTATGATGTACTACTTTCCTGTGGAAATTGCAGTGAAATTTTTTGCACAAAATTATCAATTAGAGGAACCATTTCTTCAATAAAATAAGCATTACAAAATTTCAATTAAGTAGTAAGGTACAATTAAATGCAATAAAAAGTAACACAGCATATTGTCAAGTGGAAATAAGGCTAGTTGAAGTAAAAATGTGCAAATTAATTTTACCAAATCGGCCATTTTGAATACCACTTCCTATGTAAACAAATATTAAAAATTACCAACCTTTAACATAGGTGCCTTATAGTCTGAATATAATTCAGACTAAATAGGATATAGTCTACGTAGCCAGGGGGGTTCGCAGGGTTCGAGTGAACCCCCCCCCCCCTGGCCAAAAATTCTTTCAAAAGCATGCAGTTTTTGACCATTTGAGCACTTCTCAAGTGATTTTAGCCTAATCTGCGCCAGAATTATCAAATGTGAACCCCCCCTGGAATTGAAAATTGAACCCTTGGCAAATCCTGGCTACGGGCCTGGGTGAGTCTCTAGGATTATTCAAAGTGGCTGTGTCAATGCCTATCTAAAAAAGGAAAACCAAAAAAACAGTCTCCATCATCAATAGCGTACATGATGCAAGTAATTGAAACCAAGCCTCCAAGCCTAACAACCATTTCCTAAAAATTAGACTATTTTGAAAAATAAAAAAATAAATTCTCACCTCACTTCAGGATCGTTTGCGCTGTTTTCAAAGAGTCTATATGACTTGAATCTATTATTTTTAGATTATTTGCATATCATTTGTTCTCCTTACTCTATGACAGTCTAATTACATCACAATATGTTGTAGAAATATAGTTATTTGTGCGAGCATTCACTGATGCTGCGACACAAAAAAAAATATTTCAAAATTTGATTATCGCCCACTAAAATACGCTAAAATTACGAACGAACAATAATTTAAAATCGAATTTAGTTCGGAAAATAGTTAGCCTTTCTCCATCACGCCTAACCATCGACAAGGTGCAGTTACAAAATATACCGTTGTACACTTTAGATGTACAGTGTCACTATTAACTGATTTGAAGCAAAAAACTATGATGCAGGTGTGATGTAGGTTTTAAAAAATTAATCTTGGGATTTCATGTTTAATTTCGTAGTCAGTGTTCGTAGTGTGTTCGCTTTGGAAGTTTTAGCTTTCTGATTACATTAAAGATTTTCGAGCAATGCTCGATTTTTTCGGAGTTAATCTACCCACAAAAATTATCAGTTGGAAAATGTTGAGTTTTTCACATTTCCTTGGATCATTTTTTACCTGTCGCCAAAGAGTGTCGATTATTTTATTGAGAATATGTTTCTCTTGACCAAAATGAGGAACCTGTATCAACACCTGACAGTTATAGAGCTCTACATAAGAGATAAATAGGGTTATTTCCGGGGTTTGAACACCAATAGATATCACTGTCAGGTGTTTGATTCCCATGCGGGGCATTGAATTTAGCCGACACTTTCTGTAAATTTTTTTATCTGGCCAGGCTTGTTACACTATACCGTCGTTATTGTCCATTAGTTAGTCATTCCTTTGGGGCGCCCTTGGATCATTACATTGGTGTCAGATGTGGAATCAAAGCATTGGTTGTATCCTTTGTCCCCCTTGTTATATGGTAGTCACTGCTAGGGAAGCAGGGCTGACCACGAGGGCGTGGTCCTTTCAAAGGGGAGAAAGTGTAACGACATTTTAAGCATCAGACGGCCCAACGGTCCTAGGTTGATTCCCATGAGGGGCATTGAATTTAGCACACTTTCTATCAATTTCTTTATCTGGCTTGTTACACTATCCTCGTTATTAGTTAGTCATTCCATTACAATACTACACACTGATTTAGGACGGGTGGGAACAAATAAATATTCAACTATTTATTCATATGAAATGTGCGTTGTCAACTCGAATGTACGTTGTCCCCTGTAATTGAAATTCATGAGATATATATGTGGTATTAAACAATGTGATTCATTAAGGTTTTTATGAGTAACAAGTGATCTTCAACGAACATGTTCAAGTATCCTTCTTCAGCGTTTTCATTTTATGAAAGTACTGTTGTGGTGGTGGTTAATTTGTGCCCATTTGGAGTTTGCTTCCAGTCTCTTTATTTGGCGTCTGTACCTTACGTTCTGTTAGTTACATTGATAGATAGATCTATACTAGCTTATTGAATATGACTTATTAAAATCCCGTTTATGATATATCTGGAAAATTTCAATAGTTCAATCCAATTGAAGTAATTGTTCTGTTTCAGTTTTAAATGCATCTGACCCCTGTCTGTTAGTGTTATGAAAAATACGTTGCCAGCATTATGGTTAACTGTGAATTGAGTAAGTTTAATGGGACAACGTACATTCAAGTTGACAACGTACACGTATGATCTTTTAATAGCCGAAACGTTAATACTTATCAAATCTTCAAAAGACCCTAATTGTGTTCTTTAAAGAAAAAAATTCTCATAAAAAATATTCGACACACTCTTAGACGACAGGGGAGGAAATGATCAAAGGAAATGTGTAAAAACACAACGTTTTCCAACAGACCAATTTTTGGTTGACTATCAAACAAATCGAGCACTCTGTTCGAAAATCTTTTAACGTTATTAAAAAGTTAAATCAGATGTCTTCCTAAACGAATACACAAAAAATCAAACATGAAATCCTTAATGTATTCCTCATTATTACCCTGCGCGCAGAGTCTAGTCATAAGACGAAGCTCTCTTTTAAGAAGTGAAGTCGAACGAATGCAAAGGGTATCAGATTATTTTTATAAAACCTACATCATCAAACCTACATCATTGTCTTTGGTTCAAATCGGTTGAATAGTGACATCGTACATGTAAAGTATACTACGGTATATTTTGTCACTGTACCTTAAATGTAACTGTAACGTAAATGGTTAGGCGTGCAGTGTCCATTGGTGTTTGTTGTAACCCGCCTAAGACAGAACCAATTTAAGGAACTTATTGAAATCAAATGGACATGCAACGTGACCCCGGGACGTCATCTTACTGGGAGGTAATCAGGTAACTGGTGGTACTGAAACTGAGTGGGCCGGACTAGGCCTACAGTGTCCTAAATCAGGTTGCTCTACAGCCTGACAACGGTAAAGTCAGATACCGTTGTCACAAATGGCGGACATAACTGTCGCTTCAACGGCATATGGTAATTACAGTGTCAGTTGTCCCGTATCTCATTTTGATCGGTTACATTAAAGACTTTATTTCGATGATAGAACATTATAAATTGTACAATGAGTATTAAAACACTTTGATTGGTTGTTGTTCCAAAGGAATTTAGTCTAGGTGCTCTATTAAACATACAGTTATCATTACAGTTTCATGAAAATCTAATTGAAGCGACGGTTATGTCCGCCATTTGTGACAACGGTATCTGACTTTACCGTTGTCAGGCTATTCCGGTGTGAAAGTGTGTTGACATAAAAAATGCGAAGGTATATTGTGTTTATAAGATTAGACATGGTTCTAGGATGATAGGCTTTGGGATATAATGTCATCTATTTGAGAATTTATCCATAGCACAATACGCATGTCATGTGTACATGTAATAATGAAAATGAGTCGTTCAAATATGCTACAACCGACTAAATGGAGTATGTTTCGGGGGACATCTCAAAAATTGATACTAAATCCCACAATGGTCAATTCCATTACCATTTTTCTTGAAACAGACTTGTTCCCAAATATAAATACAGGTTTACATACCTTTGAGTAATAAATCAGACTTTACTAACCACCAAGTGAACAAATATGAGCAATTTGGTATGAATTTTTGGGGATCATTTGAGACGATGCTTCAAGCTTAACAATCACATTTGCTTTTTAATACACGGCGGCTTTTGGTATTAATTTCTGTTTGTCAATTAGTATATGATTTTGATCGTGAGCTTGCGTGAGCACGCGTCAAATAAGTTGATTAAATGGAATTAATCGGGAAAATAACTTTGAAAGCTTTAACTTTAATCAAGAATGAACGATAGTCCATGATCCTCGGGAAAAATAGTTTCCACTCAAGATGGCGCTCGCTTGTATTTGTATTGATACTGCACCCTTCAAACTATTAACAAAACGGGTCCGTTTCGTTAACAAAAAGTGTCGGGAACTCGAAGTTACGATTTTTATTTTTTCTTATTTCATGAGTTTAGGGCAGACTTTCTATGACATTTTTATCACATACGTGTGTCTGTATCATATCGGAGACATATAAAACAGTTTTATCTCTGATCAACGTTTGTGAATATATAGTTCAGAAAACGACAGAATCACCGATGATATACCTCACTTTTGTATGACTATTTTACCTGACAATTTGCGACTCAAAATTATTGTTTTCAAAACCGATTGCTTTTTACCATATTTTGGCGTCCTTGCATTGTGTCATTAATACAATTTTGAACTGTATGACATCGGTACATTCACTGATTACAAATGGTTGTATGATAATAACAATAAAACCACTCCGACTTATTCAGAATTATGATTAAATATAATATGATATCTAATTAAATGAATTGACGGGATAATATTACCCGCAACCGAAAATAGTCTAAAACATTGTATATAAAGTGCATGTATTCTCTGCAGATGAACAAATTAGTTCGAACAAGTGATTCTCGACACAGAAATGAAAACTTTTACAAATATTCCGTTACCTTCGAACAATGCAAAAGAGAAAAACGTGATATCACAAAAGTGATTTAAGAAATGATGCGTAGAAGTATTATTAGCCAACGAATTAAGATTTCGGCTCGTTTAAGTTCTTTTATATACTAAGATTGTTATGTATACAACCCTTTTTCTATAAGAGAAGTAATCGTCGTTGACGTCGACTGTTAATTATGGTAAGTATTTTTTTCAATAATTCAAGTTTAAAAAATGAATTTAGGTTGAAAAAGCCTACTAAACGATGAATTATAGCATACATTACATATCATAAAACACGGAAGGCAAGTGGAAACGTTTTAAATGAGTGCATTCGGTGTACAGGCTCCAAGTGTAACCGATTTTTGTTTTTTACTACAGCCTTGGTAAATGCATTCTTGCTTTATTCGTAATGTCGAATATTTTCCATTTCTTCCATTCTCGGACTACGGATAACATCCAAATGTTCATTGCGTTTGGTAATAATTTAAATCTCGAATTCTTAATCTAGGACTTTTTTCACCTAGGGTTGTAAAGATTTGATCCAAATACTAGACTTTATGCAATAATCTATCTTCCATTTTAAAATTGCCGTTACCATGGTTACTAAAACCGGCTCAATCATTTATAACGATTCCACTTCCACCCGGTGCAAAATACAGAGTTAATAGTGTTACCGTCGTAAGATAGTAAAACATTTTTTGTCATCAGTCTATCTGAATTTATTTGTAAAGTTCATTGATTGGCATTGCAAAAAAAACATTGTTTTTCCGAGAGAAGAGGGTCGATGAAATTTCAGTAGGTATGAATTCATATATATCCTAGAATTAACATTCTATAAAATCATTTTACGAATTCACAATTTTGTTTAAAAGTTGAATTATACAGACTGGTTGAATTATTTTTGATTTTGAAGGGTTCAGACGACGACCACACCAATAGAAGAGGGTCGATGAAAATTCAGTATGAATTCACATATCCTAGAATGAACATTCTATAAAATCATTTGACGAATTCACAATTTTGTTGTGAAACTGGTTGAATTATTTTTGATTTTGAAGGGTTCAGATGACAACCACACCACGAGTCCTGTTTTACTGGTGATGTTTTACATCTTCGTTTTGGCAAATCCAATTACGGCGAAAGGTAAGACTGGGAATTATTACTTGAAAGTCAAAAGCTTTATAGAACAATTTT